AGACATCTTGTATAGAAATTTTTGCCCAATGGCGAGTAGTTCAGCAATACAAACTCAAAAGTTATCAAACAGTGGTCGGATAAAGAGGGATTCTGTGGGAACACCACTAAATGTTCAATTTCAATACCATACACCAAAACAAGGTCAGGGTGTGGTTAAAACAGTGAGTCGGTTCATGAACACTCTGAGAGAAGCCGATGGAATCTAACAAAGAGATAAACGCAGTACTGAAGCTGTCATTCTCAACATCCACATGAATATTAAAATCCCCTACAATAATAACTTTGTCCGTTTTAAGGACTAAAGTTGACAAAAACTCTGCAAATTCAGATAAGAATTCAGAATACGGGCCAGGTGCTCGGTACACTATAACAAAAAGAATTGGTTGCAGTGATTTCCAACTTGGGTGCGAAAGACTAAGAACAAGACTTTCAAATGAGTTATAGTTTAGTTTAGGTTTAGAGCTGATTAATAGGCTAGAGTCGAAGATAGCTGCAACTCCACCTCCTCGGCCTGTGCCTCGAGGAATGTGAGTATTAATATGACTGGGAGGGGTGGATTCATTTAGGCTAACATATTCTCCATCACCCAGCCAGGTTTCAGTAAGACCAAATAAATCGATATCATAATCTGATATTAGTTCATTTACTAGTACACCTTTAGAAGAGAGAGATCTGATGTTTAAGAGTCCACATTTAACTCTCCTATTTGTTTGCACTATTGCTCTTGTGGTTTTAATTTTTATAAGGTTTTTATGCACAGCTCCTCTTCTGTTTACCTTTTTAAATAATTTCGATGGTCGGGGGACAGACACCGTCACTATAGGATTTTCACTAAGTAACTCCTGAAATGGAGGAGCAGAGAAGTGTGTTAGACTGCGACTCTGCGTAGGGTTTTGGGTGGGTAACTGCTGAAAAAGAAGGGCAGAGAAGTGTGTTAAACTGCGACTCTGCCTCCTGGTCTCAACTCTGGGTTGTCATGGATTTGGTCCACTAATAAACTTGGCCAGATTTCTAGAAATGAGAGCTGCTCCTTCCCAAGTGGGATGGATGCCGTCTCTCCGGATCAGACCAGGTCTTCCCCAGAAAGTCTGCCAATGATCAACAAAGCCCACATCGTTTGCTGGACACCACCTCGACAACCAGCGGCGGAATGACGACATGCGGCTATACATGTCATCACTGGTCAGATTTGGCAGGGGTCCAGAGAAAACTACGGTGTCCGACATTGTTTTTGCATATGTACACACCGACTCAACATTAATCTTAGTGACCTCCGATTGGCGTAACCGGGAGTCATTACCGCCGACGTGAATAACAATCTTACTGTATTTACGTTTATCCTTAGCCAGCAGTTTCAAATAAGACTCAATGTCGCCCGCTCTGGCCCCAGGGATGCACTTAACTATGGCCGCTGGCTTCGCTAAATTCACGTTTCTCAAAATGGAGCTGCCAATGATCAGAGTTGGTTTCTCAGCGGGTGTGTCGCTGAGTGGGGAAAATCTGTTAGAAACGTGAACAGGTTGATGATGCCCCGTGGACTTTGAATGCTTACTATTCCTCCTTCGGACAGTCACCCAGCCCCCCTTTCCTGGCTGCACAGGGGATGCCGGAGGACGGCTACCACAGGCTAACTCAGGCCGTTCCGCACCGACTACCGGGGACTGGCTAGCTACAGTAGCTAAAGACTGATCTACCAGGGTGCGGAGCCGGACTTCTAACTCACTGAGCCTCGCCTCCATGTCTATAAATAAACTACACTTATTACATGTACCATTACCGCTAAAGGAGGCAGAGGAGTAACTAAACATCTGACACACCGAGCAGGAGAAAGTAGGAGAGAGAGAGGGAGAAGGAGAAGCCATCGCTAGCTGCTAAGCTAAAGTCGCTAACGGCTAAGCTAAAGTACTGTAGCGTCAGTTACCAAAACTTTAGAACAACTATGAGATTGAACAGCAGTCACTAAAAGATGGAAAGAACTGTGAGTGCTTAGGCAAAATTACTGTAAAGAATAAGTGTTTAGCGAACAGTTGGCCGCTGTAATCAAACAAATGTAACTGTTATTTAGCGAGAGCAGCACAACACGGTACCAACACACAAGCACCGGAAACGGAAATGAGTCGACACGCTTACCGCAATACGTCAGCACGTCAAATGACAGATGACAGGAAAATTCCAGTGAGAACGAGTCGGAGATGCTTCTTATTAAGGGCAACAGGTCAAACAGCTAAATCAACTCCCGAACAACAGCTGTTATTGGCTGGAGGAGGAAACTGTTTGCGTGTGATTCTGCAGCTCTTTGAATAAGAAGCAGTTGTTAGTTCATTTGTCCATACGGCCGTTATCTTTTAGGCTCTACTGGTTGATGAAAAACTTCTCATCATAGTTCTCTTTTTGTCCAACATACACTCACCTAAAGGATTATGAGGAACACCTGTTCAATTTCTCATGAATGCAATTATCTAATCAACCAATCACATGGCAGTTGCTTCAATGCATTTAGGGTTTGTGGTCCTGGTCAAGACAATCTCCTGAACTCCAAACTGAATGTCAAAATGGGAAAGAAAGGTCATTTAAGCAATTTTGAGCGTGGCATGGTTGTTGGTGCCAGACGGGCCGGTCTGAGTATTTCACAATCTGCTCAGTTACTGGGATTTTCACCCACAACCATTTCTAGGGTTTACAAAGAATGGTGTGAAAAGGGAAAAACATCCAGTATGCGGCAGTCCTGTGGGCGAAAATGCCTCGTTGATGCTAGAGGTCAGAGGAGAATGGGCCGACCGATTCAAGCTGATAGAAGAGCAACTTTGACTGAAATAACCACTCGTTACAACCGAGGTATGCAGCAAAGCATTTGTGAAGCCACAACACGCACAACCTTGAGGCGGATGGGCTACAACAGCAGAAGACCCCACCGGGTGCCACTCATCTCCACTACAAATAGGAAAAAGAGGCTACAATTTGCAAGAGCTCACCAAAATTGGACAGTTGAAGACTGGAAAAATGTTGCCTGGTCTGATGAGTCTCGATTTCTGTTGAGACATTCAGATGGTAGAGTCAGAATTTGGCGTAAACAGAATGAGAACATGGATCCATCATGCCTTGTTACCACTGTGCAGGCTGGTGGTGGTGGTGTAATGGTGTGGGGGATGTTTTCTTGGCACACTTTAGGCCCCTTGGTGCCAATTGGGCATCGTTTAAATGCCACGGCCTACCTGAGCATTGTTTCTGACCATGTCCATCCCTTTATGGCCACCATGTACCCATCCTCTGATGGCTACTTCCAGCAGGATAATGCACCGTGTCACAAAGCTCCAATCATTTCAAACATGACAATGAGTTCACTGTACTAAAATGGCCCCCACAGTCACCAGATCTCAACCCAATAGAGCATCTTTGGGATGTGGTGGAACGGGAGCTTCGTGCCCTGGATGTGCATCCCACAAATCTCCATCAACTGCAAGATGCTATCCATCAATATGGGCCAACATTTCTAAAGAATGCTTTCAGCACCTTGTTGAATCAATGCCACGTAGAATTAAGGCAGTTCTGAAGGCCAAAGGGGGTCAAACACAGTATTAGTATGGTGTTCCTAATAATCCTTTAGGTGAGTGTATATTTTTCTTGAATGAAATAAACACTGACAGGAGGATAAAATCCAGTTGGTCCTCGACATTTCTCCCGCCCCGGCAGAGGGCGAGCTGATGAAGCTGCAGATGGTCTGAGGGTCGGAGATCCTCCTTGAGGTCCGTTCTGGTTCTGGTTCTGGAGCAGCTGGCATCATATTAGATCCACAATGCCCAGCTCTCAACACTTCTGTTACCGAGGCAACCTCACAGTATGTGTTGCCACACATGGAGGAGCGCCTGTTGCACAACTCGTTTTATCTTTTATTAATCGAAAGTCGCTGTTTGAGACGCTTCCTGGAAAACAACAAACATTTGCTCCAACTTAACCCTTAAAGATCCGGTTCCAGTGAAATGTAGTTCGGAGCTTCATTTCCCCCTGAGGATGAACTGTAGGAACTGATCCTCTAGTGTCTGACACCTTGAATCATTTACAGTATATAAATATATAGAAACTGTTCAGTGAACTCTTTACAGCCTTTTTGCAAGCCACTCATTTTATAAACTTAACTTGTCCTTTAATGATGATTAGCAAGAAGATATTTCAGGGACGCAGCCAAACTTTAAAGCTCACATGTTGATTGGATCAACATAACGACACAGAGGGAGGGATTACAAGCAGCCGGCGCTGTACTCGTGTGTCTTACAGCTGGACGGCGCCTGTTAGGAACAAAAACACATACTGTATAACCTACAAATCAAAATGCTTAAAACTAATTTATTTGCGAATTCAAAATATTTACCAATAACTAATTGAGCCTGCTGACTCTGCATTAGGGTCTGAGGCTGCGGTGGTGGCGTGTCCTCCTTTCATGATAAAGCAAATGTGTTCTGTGAAATCATAGAAAGAAAGATAGTTTATTAGTCAGGAACAATTTAAAAAACACTAGAACAGGTTCCAATAAAATGATAGAGATGTTGCAGAGAGGATCTGCAGCCGCTGTGTCGTAACATTTCATCAGTACCAAGAGCACATTAGTTAAACTGAGTACATAATAAATAATGACATTCTGTGACAAGAGACATAATCATATAAAGATTACAGTGTTTACACAACTATCATTTACACGTGTTGCCTATGTGTATGTTCCCTAGTTCATGGCAGTATATGTGTATGAGCTACATTGTATGGGTGTGTTGTGTCGTGTGCATGCATGTAGTCTTTATGAGAATGTGTCTGTATGTGTGTTTATCTGTGTATCTGTTCTGTGTGTTCGTGCACAAGTGACCTAAAGATGTCTCATCAGCAATATCTCAATTTGGCCACTGTCCCTTTAATCTGTGGTTTATTCGTGGCTTCAGTTCTGAGAAGCTGCTCATCCGTTGGCTGATGATGAGATAAGAGAAGAAGAGGAAATTTTAGACATAACCAAGTGCCATGCAAAGAGAATATTTTATCAGCAGAAGAAGAGATGACAGACGAGAAGCGACAGGCGGTCTACCTGGACATGGATCACCTGCTGCTGGTGCTGCTGTTGCTGTGGAGCTCAGGTAGGACTCTGCTGGAATGATGAATGTTTGAAAGGTGCAAAACCTCAGTGTCAAAATACTGAATACGATGGCATATTAGGGCCATCAGAGGGGAAATGTTTCATTTTTTGGTCCAGAATTCCTGCTAAAACTGACAGGAAGAATATTCTGGTGTGATTAGCGGCTTCCTCCTCACATATTTGCCAAATACTGGTAACCTCAGGGTGATTTGCTTGGATAAAAAATGGAGCAGTGCTGAGGATCAATTAGAGTTTAAGAGTCTGACAGCTTGGGGGCAAAAGCTGCTCTGCAGTCTGGAGGTGCAGCAGCAGAAACTTCTAGATCTCTTCCCAGCATGCAGCAGGGTGAACAGGCTGTGGCTGGTTGGGTTCTGTCCTTTAGTGTCCTTTGGGCTCTGCAGACACCTCACCTCACCGATATCCCTGATGCTCTGGAGATGGGTACCAATGATCTTCTGAGCAGTTTGAGCCCTCCGGTCCTGGGCCGTGCACGTCCCATCTTAGTGATGTCTCCAGTCAGGCTGCTTTCTGCTGCTCCTCTGTAGAAGCTGACAAGAACTCAACACAGGAATTTTCTTTTTCAGTGTCCCCAGTTTCTGAGCTTTCTTCACCAGCATGGTCCAGGCTGGCTGGGATGTTGTTCTTAATGGTCTTCAGAACCAGTTTCTCACAGCAGTTCATCCGTAGTCGTTCATACTGGACAGACTGTTTAGGTCCGGAGACGATGGTGGCTCCTGGTTTTGAAGTGACGTGTTTGATGGCCTGCCACACGTGTGCCAGTTTTTAGTCTCGCTCTGGTGCTGCTTTATATTTCCATCTGTAACTGATTACATCAGATCAGCCCTTTACATGCCCAGCTTTTCAAAGTTGGTTTGAATATAGTTTGAATTTGTAACTTACCCAGGTCATTATTGTATTCTTCATACTTCTGTTAATACTTTTTGTTCTCTACTTGATTTTAGCCTTTTCCAATATCGTTTAATCTAGGATTGTAATTTTGATGCTCTTCTGTGAGTTAAGATGACTTTAACTTCAAACTAACCCGAGCTCACAGGCACATGCTGATGAACAATGAACAGCAACAATCAGTAGTTGAGGACATAAAAGCAATATAATGTACAGTATATAGAAAAATGAATAAAAACAGAATCAAATAAATGTCAATAAAACACTGAAACAGCAGCAGATTAAGACAAAGATAGAAACACTACTGCCATCCTGTACTTAAAAAAGATAAAACTCGAGAGTTAAACAAAGTGCAGGTGTAACTTTTCTGAGACCATTTTTCAAACTCATAGAAACATTTTCAGACTCTGTTTTTTCCTTCAGCTCCAAAAAGTTTTGCTGAAGTTGATATTTTGTATGTAAAATCTACAAGTTAAGAGGAAACTGCGACACAAACACACACGCAGTGGTATGGTGATTCTGGGAATTGAGGTTTAAGGCTGCTGTGTTGGTCTGTTGGTCAATTGTATGGAAATACTGAACATTTAAAATGCCTAAATAAAACAATGTTAAAATTCAAAACACAGGGATATATATTTCTGGGTGTCCTCACTTCTGTTGCCAGCGGTTTAGACATTAATGGCTGTGTGATGTGTTATTTTGAGGGGACAGCAAATTTACACTCACTACTTTACACTGGAGTGTCAGTGGGGTGGACTCACTTTGTGAGATACTGTAATATATAAGTTTACTGTGTTATAATTAGATGGAAACATTTAATTTAAACCTTTAAAACTACACAGATAGTTCTTTACTACACATACTACCACTCTTCCTATTCTGCTCCTGCCACTGTGGTGAAAATGAAAAAAGTGTGAGACTCAAATTATAAATATCCATGGCTTAAATGGAAAAAGTCAGTTTGTAACTCAAGTTTGACTGTTGGTTTCAGCTTCAGCAGTAATCTGGTTCCAGAGTGAGTCCATTCACTAATCTGTGTGTGTTCTCACTGAGATGAGCTCTGAGCTCTGCTCCAATCAGCATGCTGCTTTATACTGATGTTTGTTTTCTGACTTTCTCCTCAGGACTCCAGGCTGAAGGAAATCACACCTCAACAGGTAAACGGAGAACGTAAAGATAAATGAAGCCAACAAAGGGTCTGACTTTGAGTTCACATCCTGTTTCCTGCTGAAAGTCAGAGCTGGATTATTTTGTAACAGACCGGTAACGGTTTAGGAGGAGCCTGATGGTAACGAGCATTTTCCATTTTATTCATTTAGCTGACGCTTTTATCCAAAGCAACTTACAATTGCTGTATACATGTCAACTAGGAGTTAAGTGTCTTCTTGCTGAGGGACACATTTGTGTCTCACAGTGGATTCGAACCCGGGTCTCTCACACCAAAGGCATGCGTCTTATCCACTGCACCATCACCGCCCCATCAGACCAGAACATGATGTCCAGGACTGAACTTTTCATCTAGCATGCTTTTAATGTGTTCATGTTAGCATGCTGATTTAGCTCACAGCCTCACTGAGCCGCTAGCATGGCAGTCAGTTTTACTTCTATGTTTGGTCTTTTGTGTATTGTATCCCACAATCCTCTGTTTTCTTCCAGGTGCTCGGTGTGAAACCACAGCCAAGGCTGACATCGTGCTGTTGGTGGACGGCTCCTGGAGCATCGGCCTAAAAAACTTTGCAATCATCCGGTCCTTTGTCAGTAGAACACTCGATGAATTCTTCATCGGCCCAGACCGAGTCCAGATTGGTAATATTTTTTGATTTATAGTACTACAGAAAACCTGTAAACTCTCTGTAGGTAGACTATCCAGATATAGTGTAACTTATGTAATATCATTATACTAACATTGTACTTTTTATTTAAAGTTATAATATTATACTAATACACTAATTTATACTAGTTACTCCTCCAGAGGGGAGCCAACATGTGAGAAGTACAAGCACCCTAAGTTTGTATTATTATTATTATTAGTACCATTATCTCAAATCTTCACACCGCAATGTGAACACATTTAAATAAATTAAATGGCATCTATAGTTACATTAAATAATGTGATTATTATTATTATTATTATTATTATTTAATAGCCAATTACCTAATTTGGTATCATAAGATACACTAACTATCAATTTGTAACAGATAAATAATTCAAGTAAGTAACAAAATTACAATCAATAGCTGGTAGGTTGAAGGCTTTGTGGTTCCACATAGAAGAGGTTGGTGAGGTTAAAGAAACAGCATGTATATACACAAGCATTTATTTAACTGATAAACAAAAGCAAAACACAAGAGATGGAACCTGACTAACTCAACTAAAGGACAAAGATGTGTGTGTGATAAGGAGAGCATGCGAGTGTGTCGAGTGTGCGTCTATTTCTGTGATCTGCACAGTTTGTTCTGCACGAACATGAACACGTGTTGCAGACAAGAACAGCTCAGTGAGGCGGGAGCTTTAAGTTATCTCCCTGCATCATTTACAAAAGCTAACAGTCCTGTGCTTACCATCGTTATTCTGTTAAACTGCATGAAGCTCTGTGATGTCCAGGTACTTTACCAGCCTGTGGAGGAAGAGAAGTTTCTTGGCGTGCTAGTTGTTATCTGGCAGGTCTGTCGTGGATTGGCCAGGCAGGAAGAACTGTGGTTCTGTTGCAGAGGACCCGGCCTTTTTCAGGTCTTCTCTGTGAGACAGCTTTTCTGAAGTAACGCCAAGGATCACAGGTCACACTGACCAATCACAGCTGCAAGCTGGGTCCATGGGCTGACTTCACACCTGGGTGTGAATTTCTCCAGGATTGTGAAAAGTAGCAGAAAATAAAGCATTAAAAGTTACTCAATAAAGGAAATTAATCTATAAATAGTATTTTAATGTAAACTTGCTGATCTTTTAGCTACTACTTTTACTATAAAACTAATTCTCAACAGCTTTAAAGTGCTTCTACTCTTCCTGATTCGACAACCACCAATCCCCCATCCAGACCCCAACCCAGCAGAACACCTTTGGGATGAATTAGAGCAGAGACTGCGAGCCAGGCCGTCTCATCCTACATCTGTGCCTGACCTCACAAATGCACTTCTAGACGAATGGTCAAGAATTCCCAGAAGAGTTGAAACTGTACAAAATCCACATTGAACCCTATGGATCAGGAATTGGATGTCATTAACCTTCATGTGCATGTAAAGGCAGGTGACCCAAAAATTTTGCCAACATAGTGTAGCTTTTGTGCGTTTTCATGACAACAGAAGCATGCACTAGGAGTTGTACAAGCTGTTAATAGCAGAACAGGTGTAGCAGCAGTAGTGATATTTATAGATGAATTAGCATTAGTGATAGTTGTGGGGCCCTGTGCAGGCCAGTCAAGTTCTCCACACCAAACTGGCCTGGATGAGCCAGTTTGACTGTCTTTATGGACCTGCTTTGTGCTCTGGTGCGCGGTCATGTTGGAACAGTAAGGGGCCGTCCGCAAACTGTTTCCACAAAGTTGGGAGCATGAAACTGTCCTAAATGTGTTGGTCTGCTGAAGCATGAACAGTTCCTTTCACTGGAACTGAGGGGCCAAGCCCTGAAAAACAACCCCACACCACAACCATTCTCCTGGAAACCAAAACCAAACCCAGACTCGTCCATCTGATTGCCAGATAGATAAGCGTGATTCGTTACTCCAGAGAACACGTCTCCACGGCTCTGGTGTCCAGTGGCGGCGTGCTTTACACCGCTGCATCCGACGCTTTGCATGGCACTTGGTGATGTCAGGCTTGGATGCAGCTGCTCGGCCGTGAAGACCCGTTCCATGAAGCTCTCTATGCACGGTTCTTGAGCTAATCCGCTAAGGCCACAGCACATTTGGAAGTCTGTAGCTGTTAACACTGCAGAAAGTGGGCGACTTCTGCGTACTGTGCGCCTCCTAAAACTTTTGGCAACACAGCGCATTGGTAACAACAGCAGTTCTGATGCATACCAAGGGTGTCACGGTACACAGAAGTCCCTGTTCGGATCATACCCCAGGTTAGGAAACACGGTTCGGAGCAGGTTTGATACACCCCAAACTAAAATCTTTCCCGAACAAGTGATTCAACCGATGCAGGCAGGTTTTGCAGCTCTGGCGTTTCATCTCGCCGCCGTGGCAATTAGCTTGTTGTGCTAACCTCAGCACACGCTGTAAGGCTAAATGTTTCTGCGCGCAAGCAAACATTGGGTCGACATTATGCGCAGCAATCTACATACCATGTAGCCCTGGTAACCCGCTGCGATGGGTCGGCACAACGTTACAGTCCTCATGTGTACCATTGTTAACATGCCCGTAGTGTCTCATAGACAGGAAGAATCACTGCACATAAGGCACATTGCTGTGTGTTTCCTGCAGGTCTGGTTCAGTACAGTCGTAATCCACACACTGAGTGGCACCTGAACACCCACCAGACCAAGTATTCTCTGCTGAAGGCCATACGCACGATGCCATACAGAGGAGGAAGCACCAATACAGGTGATTAACAGCATGTTGTCCAGTCCACATCAGGCACTACAGTATTTAAAGATTACTTTATAATATATGATATCTGTTGAGCAATGTGTGAATGTAAAACACTTCATTGATACTGAAAAAACTGTAATTAAAATATTATTGACAAAGCATCTTCAGCAAAGAGAGTCCAGATAAAAGCTGTAAAAAAAACAGTTTTGTTTATATCGTTTGTTATTGTAGATCTGCAATAATAGTAGAGTTACCATAAAAATGAAATGGTAATAATAATATTGTTACCATAGTTTTATCTTATTATTGTTATTTATTATTATTGTACAATAGCATGAATAAAGATATACAACTTTATTTTAACAATGTTAATCAATGATGTAAGTGACTCAACAGAAACTCAGTGATTGAATGTTTTTTACTGAAATGCATCTTGGGAGTTGTAGTTGACTTCCTTCATTACTGTTTATACTCACGGGCTTCTTTTCTTTTACTTTTGACTTTTCATCAAAGAACCAGATATTTACTGACACAGCTGTTAAAGTGATCCAACTGTCAGTCTCCATACAGTCTGTGAGAAGATGAATGGAGTTTTTACCCACCCCAGCTTTGTACCTCTGCCTTTTGATGCCTCTTTATTTCTGTCATACAGGAAAGGCTCTTAACTACACCCTGAAGAACAACTTCCAGCCCGATGTGGGAATGCGTGCAGACTCCAAAAAAATTGCTGTCTTGCTGACTGACGGACAGTCCAGTGATGACGTCCGGCTCCCCTCGAAGAAGCTGAAGGATGCTGGGATAGAGATCTACGCTATTGGTGACTGACTTTCAGTTTGAATAGTAAGAAGGCAGCGCAGCCTCATATAAATCTGTAAAGTAAGGCTGAGCTCTCAAAAGCTCTGAAACTACAATACTACCACACACAAATAAGTGACCTGCTATTTCATGCTTGTCACAACAAAAAGTTAGCTAGCCTCTTAAAATATACATTGTTATTTATATAGGTGAAAGTCTTTACATTTAGCTGAAGCTTTTATACCAAAGCGACTTATAATTGCTATGTCAGAGGTCGCACACCTCTGGAGCAACGAGGGGTTAAGTGTCTTGCTCAGGGACACATTGGTGGATGTGTCACAGTGGGGGATTGAACCCAGGTCTCTCACACCAAAGGCATGCGTCTTATCCACTGTTCCATCACGACCCCGGCACCACCCTTTCAAGTTGTGAAAATTAAGTCAAGCATGTTTCAAGTCTTTGCAAGATTAGAAAAACTTATAAATATTTTACTAAAAGTGATATCTGCTCAGAAGATAGATAAAAGTCCAGCTAAAAATAGTCAGCAGTAATGTACAGTAGTTATGATTTCTTGTGAATGGGATTAAAAATGCATAACCGTCAATATGGTCTGTCAAAGGTTTAGTTTAGGCATCAGAAAACCAACGTTTTACTACTTTGCCAACCAAATAGTAACCCAGTCTCACATCACAATGTGTAATAGCAATGTTGGCCAGTATCATAGATGTATAAAGAGAAGTAGGGTAATTATGAATTTGTAATTACACAAAGTTGACTGGCTTATGTATACCAATGGTGGCTGACCTTGCTCTGTGTTTCATTACCCCATCAAAGGGATACTCCTTCACGCCTAAGTGACAAAATCCAGAACAGCCTGAACTTTATGTAAACAAAGACTGCAGTCTCCAAAGACCCCAAAGCCTTAACTGTTTAATTAAATAATCTTTTAGTTACTTGATTACGTTTGCCTCTGTTTGAGTAGTTATGTTACCATGTTGATGCTGTGATCTGTTGTTGATATTATTGTTGAAAAGAATCAAGTTACTTTTGCAGTGTTTTCATTTTCAGCAAGATTAAGGACACTCCTTCATCTAATGTGTAACCAATGCTTGTTCACAATACTTTCTCACACAATTCCTTTAGAAATGATGATAAAAATGTCATACTATACTCTTAATCGCCAGCTTGAATTTAAGGCTGAATAACTAAATTCCCCAGTTCCTAAGGAGAGATTGTTTTGGATTAATCTAAGCTTTCCTCATGTAACCTGAGCTCCCCCAAGTGGATGAAATAAGTATTACATACCATCATCGGAAATGCCGTTAATGTATAAATGTCACTCATTATTTAACATCGTGACCAATAATGTGACAATTGTTTCCTGTTACCAAATTTTTAACTTAGAACGGTTCAACCCTTTGACCATTGAGGTTTGATTGTGGAAAATATTTGATTATAATACACGCAAATAGATTTTCTTTTCTTTTATAGACATTAAAAGTTTAGAAAGACAGTCCCTCGGGAAACCGGAAACGCCCCCTGGGGGAACCACGCCCCAGACCACAAAAGAGCGACACACGACGTCGCCCGCTCTCTGCTCTTCTCCTCGTGCTCTTCCCTTCTGCTCTGCTTTCTGGACTCTTCAGTACGTGCCTCTCCCGGCCACGGCCTAAGAATTGGACCAGTGCAACGAAGCCTTTACTCGCTTGAAGCTACACACGCGAAGTGCCGCGACATCGATTTTTACCTCAGTTCCAGCAACTTTACTTCTTTTATTTTCTTTCTTTTGTTTTAAGTTATCAGTCTGTTAAGTTACACTGGACTAATTGAGGAACGACCAGGTTCCATTTTAAGCTTTTTCGTCGAGCCAACTCACCGAGGTCAGACCAAGCCACGTGGTCTCGCCAGTGGCAACGAAGGAAACCTGAAAACAGCCGAATTGCCAGACGGAGGACGGCCAACCCTTGAGGTTTTTCTTCAGTCAGACACGGAGAACCCCGGAGAATCCCTAGCAAAAAGCCAGGATCAGGCAGCTAGCGTGGGACCCGTTCAACAGGCCAAAGCAGGCCGTCGACAAGCAGAAATGTCCCGTAATTTTAATATTGTCTTTTTAACTCCTAAACTCATAGCTTACTTTCATTAGTTCTCCTCTGCCATATGAGTCAAATGCTTCCCACAGTCAAACCTCCATTCTCATTCTTCAGTCATTGTTTATTGCCCTGATGTATTTAACCACCCGCTTATATCGCTTTAGTTAGTTAATAAATTCACTGTAATCAAGAACTGTGTGTTGCCTATTTCCACATCCCTGCCAAGAGAATTGACCCTTTAGATATGAGACTGATTGATTTAAGATAATTTAGCGATTTTTAACTAACTGATCACTAGTAATAATTGTATAATTATTAAAAGCTACCTAGAGGTCCGGAGACTCTAGGTCAATAACAACTCAGGTGGTGCCCCTGCGAAATGAAAGATTTTTATGATATTTCCTGAATATTAAAATTCATAATTGGGTATTAATTCTCATCAATTTATTAAAATTCATAGCTACTTTTAGACATGCTACATTGTGAAAATAATGTTTTATGCTGCAGACAAAAGCATTGATATCTTGATGACTGGGTTGAGTTAGTTTTGTTGTTTTTGTGTCTAATTTTTTCTTCTGCACAGTATTAACACTACATTTTACTCTCAGGTGTGAAGGATGCTCCTGAGAATGAGCTGACATTCATCGCCTCCAATCCCGATGAAATTCACGTTTACAGTATCGAGGACTTCTCAATTCTGCCAGACATCATCAGCAGCCTCACTATCAATCTCTGTAGCAGTGCTAATAGCTTAGGTGAGCAAAGAGTCCATCATAAATAAACCACAATAGGTGTTAGCCCCACACTGATTCACTGGTATCAGAATCAATCTCAAGATACAAGAGGGTGGTCTGGCAATGGGGTCTTCTCTTTCTACTGTAGGTCAAACTTCAGCTACCAGTTCCGAGCTGTGGCAAGAAGCCCACTAGAGGGTCTTCAGTGCTGCAGTTTCAATTCAATTCAATTCAATTCAATTTATTTATATAGCGCCAAATCACAACAACAGTTATCTCACAGCGCTTTTCATAAAAGAGCAGGTCTAGACCGTACTCTGTGATGTTATTTACAGAAGCCCAACAGTTCCCACCAAGAGCAGCACTAGGCGACAGAGGCAAGGAAAAACTTCCTTTTAAGAGGCAGAAACCTCGAGCAGAACCATGCTCAGGGTGGGCGCCATCTGCCTCGACCGGTTGGGTGAGAGAGAGAGAGAGAAGAGAAAGAGAGAGAGAAAGAGAGTGAAAGAGAGAGAGAGAGAGAGAAAGAGAGGAAAGAGAGAGAGAGAGAGAGAGAGAGAGAGAGAGAGAGAGGGATGTAAGGAGAGAGAGGGGAGGGAGGCAGCCTACACAATATACACACAGAGGTACAGACAGTGAAGGTAATGTGCTATAACTAAATGAAAAATGGTACAGATATTTATAATAGTGTTAATGGTAACCATCATAATGTTAATGATTATAATAACAATAATAACAATAAGACTAGCAACAATAGTCGTTGCAGTAGAGGGTGTCGAGCAGGAACACGGGGGCAGCAGGCGACCCGCAGCCACAGATCCAGACTCCACAGCTCCAGAGCCAGAAAACCTGCAGGAAGTGATAGGAGGAGAGAGGAGAGGGACGAGAAAGCACAAGACTACCAGAAAGGGGAGAAGTTGTGTTAGTAACATGCAATAATGGGATAAGGTTGCATACAGAGGGAGAGAAAGTAGAGGAGAGAGGAGCTCAGTGCATCATGGGAAATCCCCCGGCAGTCTAGGCCTATAGCAGCATAACTAAGGGATGGTTCAGGACTACCTGAGCCAGCCCTAACTATAAGCTTTATCAAAGAGGAAAGTCTTAAGCCTACTCTTAAATGTGGAGATGGTGTCTGCCTCCTGAACCCAAACTGGAACCTGGTTCCACAGGAGAGGAGCTTGATAGCTGAACGCTCTGGCTCCTAGTCTACTTTTGGAGACTCTAGGAACCACAAGTAACCCTGCATTCTGGGAGCGCAGTGCTCTGGTGGGGTAGTAAGGTACTATGAGCTCTTTAAGATAAGATGGTGCCTGACCATTAAGAGCTTTGTAGGTAAGAAGAATGATTTTAAATTCTATTCTGGATTTTACTGGAAGCCAATGCAAAGAAGCTAAAACAGGAGAAATGTGATCTCTTTTCCTGGTTCCTGTCAGAACACGTGCTGCAGCATTCTGGATCAGCTGAAGAGTCTTAATGGACTTTTTCGAGCAGCCTGATAATAAGGAATTGCAGTAATCCAGCCTAGAAGTAACAAATGCATGGACTAGTTTTTCTGCATCATTTTTAGACAGGATGTTCCTGATTTTCGCAATATTACGTAGGTGAAAAAAGGCGGTCCTTGAAATTTGCTTAATGTGGGACTTAAACGACATGTCCTGATCAAAGATAACTCCAAGATTCCTCACAGTGGTGCTGGAGGCCAGGGCGATGCCATCCAGGGAAACTATATCTTTAGATAATGCGTCACGGAGGTGCTTAGGCCCCAGAGCAATAACTTCAGTTTTATCTGAGTTTAACATAAGAAAATTACAGTCATCCAGGTTTTAACATCCTGAAGGCACATTTGAAGTTTAGCTAACTGATGAGTTTCATCTGGCTTGATCGATAGATATAACTGAGTATCATCTGCATAACAATGAAAGCTTATGGAATGTTTCCTGATAATATTGCCTAAAGGAAGCATATATAAAGTGAAGAGGATTGGTCCAAGGACAGATCCTTGAGGAACTCCATGAGTAACTTTGGCGTGCATGGAGGACTCATCGTTAACATGTACAAACTGAAATCGATCTGATAAATAGGACTTAAACCAGCTTAGAGCGGTTCCTTTAATGCCAATGAAATATTCCAGTCTCTGCAATAGGATCTGATGGTCAATGGTATCAAATGCAGCACTAAGATCTAATAAAACCAGTACAGAGACAAGTCCTTTGTCTGATGCAATAAGGAGGTCATTAGTAATTTTCACCAGTGCTGTCTCTGTGCTATGATGAGCTCTAAATCCTGACTGAAAATCCTCAAATAAACTATTGCTCTGTAGAAAGTCACACAGCTGTTTAGCAACTGCTTTCTCCAGAACCTTAGAGAGAAATGGAAGGTTAGATATAGGTCTATAGTTGGCTAAAACATCCGGATCAAGTTTGGGCTTTTTCAGAAGAGGTTTAATTACAGCTACTTTAAAGTACTGTGGTACATAGCCTGTTGATAAAGATAGATTGATCATATCTAGTATAGAGGTGCTGACTAAGGGTAAAACATCTTTAAGCAGCCTAGTCGGGATGGGGTCTAAGAGGCAGGTTGATGGTTTAGATGAAGAAATTATTGAAGTTAGTTGGTAAAGATTGAGGGAAGCAAAACAGTCTAAACATGTATCTGGTTCTACAGCTGTTTCTAAGGTTCCTGAGTTAAGAGATAAGTCGGTGCCAATTGAGGGCAGGTCTTGGTGAATTTTGTCTCTAATAGCTAGAATTTTATCATTAAAGAAGCTCATGAAATCGTAACTACTGAGAGCTATGGGAATACTTGGCTCAATAGAGCTGTGACTCTCTGTCAGCCTGGCTACAGTGCTGAAAAGAAACCTGGGGTTGTTCCTATTTTCCTCTATTAATGACGAGTAGTACGCTGCTCTGGCATTACGGAGGGCCTTCCTATAAGTTTTAAGACTATCTTGCCAAATTAAACGAGAATTTTCCACTTTGGTGGAACGCCAATTCCTCTCAAGTTTCCGTGATATTTGCTTTAATTTGCGAGTTTCAGTATTATACCATGGAGCTAACCGTCTTTGTTTTAGTATTTTCTTTTTTAGAGGGGCTACAGAGTCGAGTGTCATTCGCAGCGAGCCTGCAGCACTATCAACAAGATGATCGATTTGGGAGGGACTGAAATTAGCATAGGAGTCCTCCGTTACTTTGTGACTAGATAATGTATTTAGAGCTGATGGAATCGCATCCTTAAATTTAGCTAGCACTATCAACAGACATCTTGTATAGAAATTTTTGCCCAATGGCGAGTAGTTCAGCAATACAAACTCAAAAGTTATCAAACAGTGGTCGGATAAAGAGGGATTCTGTGGGAACACCACTAAATGTTCAATTTCAATACCATACACCAAAACAAGGTCGAGGGTGTGGTTAAAACAGTGAGTCGGTTCATGACACTCTGAGAGAAGCCGATGGAATCTAACAAAGAGATAAACGCAGTACTGAAGCTGTCATTCTCAACATCTACATGAATATTAAAATCCCCTACAATAATAACTTTGTCCGTTTTAAGGACTAAAGTTGACAAAAACTCTGCAAATTCAGATAAGAATTCAGAATACGGGCCAGGTGCTCGGTACACTATAACAAAAAGAATTGGTTGCAGTGATTTCCAACTTGGGTGCGAAAGACTAAGAACAAGACTTTCAAATGAGTTATAGTTTAGTTTAGGTTTAGAGCTGATTAATAGGCTAGAGTCGAAGATAGCTGCAACTCCACCTCCTCTGCCTGTGCCTCGAGGAATGTGAGTATTAATATGACTGGGAGGGGTGGATTCATTTAGGCTAACATATTCTCCATCACCCAGCCAGGTTTCAGTAAGACCAAATAAATCAATATCATAATCTGATATTAGTTCATTTACTAGTACACCTTTAGAAGAGAGAGATCTGATGTTTAAGAGTCCACATTTAACTCTCCTATTCGTTTGCACTATTGCTCTTGTGGTTTTAATTTTTATAAGGTTTTTATGCACAGCTCCTCTTCTGTTTACCTTTTTAAATAATTTCGATGGTCGGGGGGCAGACACCGTCACTATAGGATTTTCACTAAGTAACTCCTGAAATGGAGGAGCAGAGAAGTGTGTTAGACTGCGACTCTGCGTAGGGTTTTGGGTGGGTAACTGCTGAAAAAGAAGGGCAGAGAAGTGTGTTAAACTGCGACTCTGCCTCCTGGTCTCAACTCTGGGTTGTCATGGATTTGGTCCACTAATAAACTTGGCCAGATTTCTAGAAATGAGAGCTGCTCCTTCCCAAGTGGGATGGATGCCGTCTCTCCGGATCAGACCAGGTCTTCCCCAGAAAGTCTGCCAATGATCAACAAAGCCCACATCGTTTGCTGGACACCACCTCGACAACCAGCGGCGGAATGACGACATGCGGCTATACATGTCATCACTGGTCAGATTTGGCAGGGGTCCAGAGAAAACTACGGTGTCCGACATTGTTTTTGCATATGTACACACCGACTCAACATTAATCTTAGTGACCTCCGATTGGCGTAACCGGGAGTCATTACCGCCGACGTGAATAACAATCTTACTGTATTTACGTTTATCCTTAGCCAGCAGTTTCAAATAAGACTCAATGTCGCCCGCTCTGGCCCCAGGGATGCACTTAACTATGGCCGCTGGCTTCGCTAAATTCACGTTTCTCAAAATGGAGCTGCCAATGATCAGAGTTGGTTTCTCAGCGGGTGTGTCGCTGAGTGGGGAAAATCTGTTAGAAACGTGAACAGGTTGATGATGCCCCGTGGACTTTGAAAGCTTACGACTATTCCTCCTTCGGACAGTCACCCAGCCCCCTTTCCTGGCTGCACAGGGGATGCCGGAGGACGACTACTAGAGGTTTCTTCCCTTCCTTGACGAAACCAATCCCCAATCTTCGCTAGCAATGTATAATAAATATAAATAAAATTCACTATGCAGATAGTTTCTGCAACTGCTCCTCGTCATGATGCCACTATTAGTGCTTCTCCCCAGGGCCTTCAAATAACGACATACAGTATAGGTAATATAGTAATACTGACTATATGTTGTCCTAATTATTGTCCTAATAATTACCTAATATTGCCAAATTATCCTGGGTTGGACGAAGAGATGTTGTAAACCAACTGGATCAGGACAAAGCAATTTTGTCCTGATTTTGTCAGTACCTTGACCCCATCATGTCCATGTTACTGCTGCCACATTCCTATTTCCGTCCTGAGACACAGTTCCTCCACCTGGGTTTTAGCTCTTCCAGCAGGTGTCATTTACACTGAGGACGCTAGGGACATGTCCCCACCACCTTTTAAAAGCATTTGTTAAGAATGTTCTGAAAAATAGATAAATAAATAACAAGAAATGTTTAATAACAAAACTACAAAACTCACAAAAGTGAGTCTGCCCCTCTCATGTTTGTAAATATTTGATTCTATCTTTTCATGTATCAACACTGAAGAAATGACACGTTACTCCAATGTAAAGTAGTGAGCGTACAGCTTGTATAACAGTGTAAAGTAGTGAGCGCGCAGCTTGTATAACAGCGTAAAGTAGTGAGCGTCAGCGTAAAGTAGTGAGCGTGCAGCTTGTAGAACAGCGTAAAGTAGTGAGCGTGCAGCTTGTAGAACAGCGTAAAGTAGTGAGCGTGCAGCTTGTAGAACAGCGTAAAGTAGTGAGCGTCAGCGTAAAGTAGTGAGCGTGCAGCTTGTACAACAGCGTAAAGTAGTGAGCGTCAGCGTAAAGTAGTGAGCGTGCAGCTTGTACAACAGCGTAAAGTAGTGAGCGTGCAGCTTGTAGAACAGCGTAAAGTAGTGAGCATCAGCGTAAAGTAGTGAGCGTGCAGCTTGTAGAACAGCGTAAAGTAGTGAGCGTGCAGCTTGTAGAACAGCGTAAAGTAGTGAGCGTGCAGCTTGTAGAACAGCGTAAAGTAGTGAGCGTCAGCGTAAAGTAGTGAGCGTGCAGCTTGTAGAACAGCGTAAAGTAGTGAGCGTCAGCGTAAAGTAGTGAGCGTGCAGCTTGTAGAACAGCGTAAAGTAGTGAGCGTCAGCGTAAAGTAGTGAGCGTGCAGCTTGTACAACAGCGTAAAGTAGTGAGCGTGCAGCTTGTAGAACAGCGTAAAGTAGTGAGCGTCAGCGTAAAGTAGTGAGCGTGCAGCTTGTAGAACAGCGTAAAGTAGTGAGCGTCAGCGTAAAGTAGTGAGCGTGCAGCTTGTAGAACAGCGTAAAGTAGTGAGCGTGCAGCTTGTAGAACAGCGTAAAGTAGTGAGCGTGCAGCTTGTAGAACAGCGTAAAGTAGTGAGCGTGCAGCTTGTAGAACAGCGTAAAGTAGTGAGCGTCAGCGTAAAGTAGTGAGCGTGCAGCTTGTAGAACAGCGTAAAGTAGTGAGCGTCAGCGTAAAGTAGTGAGCGTGCAGCTTGTAGAACAGCGTAAAGTAGTGAGCGTCAGCGTAAAGTAGTGAGCGTGCAGCTTGTAGAACAGCGTAAAGTAGTGAGCGTGCAGCTTGTAGAACAGCGTAAAGTAGTGAGCGTGTAAAGTAGTGAGCGTACAGCTTGTATAACAGTGTAAAGTAGTGAGCGTGCAGCTTGTAGAACAGCGTAAAGTAGTGAGCTTGTATAACAGCGTAAAGTAGTGAGCGTGTAAAGTAGTGAGCGTACAGCTTGTATAACAGTGTAAAGTAGTGAGCGTACAGCTTGTATAACAGCGTAAAGTAGTGAGCGTGCAGCTTGTAGAACAGCGTAAAGTAGTGAGCTTGTATAACAGCGTAAAGTAGTGAGCGTGTAAAGTAGTGAGCGTACAGCTTGTATAACAGTGTAAAGTAGTGAGCGTACAGCTTGTATAACAGCGTAAAGTAATGAGCGTACAGCTTGTATAACAACGTAAAGTAGTGAGCGTGCAGCTTGTAGAACAGCGTAAAGTAGTGAGCTTGTATAACAGCGTAAAGTAGTGAGCGTGTAAAGTAGTGAGCGTACAGCTTGTATAACAGCGTAAAGTAGTGAGCGTGTAAAGTAGTGAGCGTACAGCTTGTATAACAACGTAAAGTAGTGAGCGTGCAGCTTGTAGAACAGCGTAAAGTAGTGAGCTTGTATAACAGCGTAAAGTAGTGAGCGTGTAAAGTAGTGAGCATACAGCTTGTATAACAGCGTAAAGTAGTGAGCGTGTAAAGTAGTGAGCGTACAGCTTGTATAATAGTGTAAAGTAGTGAGTGTGCAGCTTGTAGAACAGTGTAAATTTGCTGTCCCCTCAAAATAACACATCACACAGCCGTTAATGTCTAAACCGCTGGCAACAACAGTGAGGACACACGTAGGTGAAAATGTCCTAATTGGGCCCAATTAGCCATTCTACAAACAACTGTTTTCACCATCTTATGTGGTATAGAGCTATAAGCATTATTGAGGTACACAGGTACACGCAGGAGAGGTTTAACCTGAACTTTCTTTGCTTCATTATCTACTGTGAAAAGAATCGTGATAGGGTGACTACCTGATAAAGGGCCTCAGGGATCCTGGGATCAGCGGATCACCAGCTTCTTTAAGTTTCATAGAGAAAGAATGGAATGTGCAATATGGACAACAAATTAAATAAAAAGTTGAGTGTATTCAGATGTATCAAAGTAAAAGTACTGATAAACTTAACACTTAACTGTGTACAAGTAAAATTTACCTTTTGTTTCATTCAACCTAATTCTGGATCCTAGACACACACTGGCTCACCAAGCCTCCAGATCTGTTTGCCGTACTCCACCCCCTTTTGAGGCTGTAGATCTTGTTTATATTATTCATCATGCATTGCTGTCTACCACAGTGTGATTCTTTATGGTACTATATTTTTTGATACTTAAAGGCTTGTGTCAGGATCTGAATGTACCCTCTCTGTCTCAGTCTTTGTCAGGCTGGTGAATGGGACTGGTCTGTGTTCAGGCAGACTGGAGGTGAAGTCTAACCAGTCTAACCAGTATAACCAGAGGTGGTCCTCAGTGTGTGAAGCTGACTTTGACCAGCAGGATGCAGAGGTGGTCTGTAGGGAGCTTGGCTGTGGGGCTCCTTCCGTCCTCCAGGGGGTGCTCTATGGAGAAGTGGAGGCTCCGATGTGGACCAAAGAGTTCCAGTGTGGAGGTAATGAGTCTGCTCTCCTGGACTGTAGAAGCTCAGGCTCAGCTAGAAACACCTGCTCACCTGGAAAAGCTATTGGACTCACCTGCTCAGGTAGAAGAGGAGCTGCAGCTTTGACTTGGTTCATTTCTGTTCTAGTGAAACATTTTGTTTTGCTGATGACTCTCTTGTTTCTGTTCAGAACCTGTCAGGTTGGTGGGAGGAGCCAGTCGCTGTGCAGGAACACTGGAGGTGAAACGAGGAGAATGGAGACCAGTTTATGGCTCTAACTGGATCCTGAAGTCAGCAGCTGCAGTCTGTAGAGAGCTGGACTGTGGATCTGCTGTTTCAACACGAATGAAGAATGAGTCCTTACACAGATCTGCATGGGAGATCAGCTCTGACTGTGTTCAGTCTGGATATGGCCTGAGGGAGTGTGTGTCATCAGGTTCCTCTACCTCAATCATTGAGATCACCTGCGCAGGTAGGACCATCAGTGACATCTATGACAGGAATCTTTCCAGTTTCTTGGTATAAATGTACTGTGTCATGTTCTCAGTTAAACTCCGAAGTTGGCAAGAAATGCTCAGACTCGGCAACCTGTTCTTACTCCCCGAGTCGTCACTTATTGACGCTACCTTGACTGCGAAGCCCTAAATGTCAAATTACGCAAAAGGGATTCCCAGGTTGTTAAAAGGCGACGGCAAAGGGCCTTGACCAAGCGTCAACATGTGACGAGTCGGGAGTGAGAATTTGTTGGACTCGGAGGTCTGATCAGCAACATTACAGATGTGGATATGTTTCAATCTTAGTAGAATCTGTAAGGTCTGCTGATCAACAATAATTATTAATGTTGAAACTGCTTGCGTGACTTCTTTAATACAAATGTCAACACTCAACAAGACTCTCACTTCTCATGGTATCGGTAAGTAGAACATGTAGAGCATTGATATTTGGCATCCAGGCTCTGACCTGACACCAAGCTTAGTACAGTGGGGTGACGATGATAAAAAAACCCAACCTAAGCCTCATTAGATACAAAGGCTGATACAGGAATCTACTATGTGAGCCCTGGCAGGACAAACTGCTGTATGGCCATTCCCCTGGAGGGCGCGTTGCCACAGGTGAGATATTTACTACACTATGAACAACTTCTCTGTGTGCTGCTGTTTGGAAATTTCCCCTGCGATGAAAAGGGGCATATACTAGCTGATGAAATGAGATGGATGAATCTAAATTCAGAAGTCCACCTTATATGCAGCAACAGGCTAACATGCTAAGCTATTATGCTCTCTGTTTTAATGAAACACTCTTGTTTCTGTTCAGAACCTGTCAGATTGGTGGGAGGAGCCAGCCGCTGTGCAGGAACACTGGAGGTGAAACGAGGAGACTGGAGACCAGTTTATGGCTCTAACTGGATCCTGAAGTCAGCAGCTGCAGTCTGTAGAGAGCTGGACTGTGGATCTGCTGTTTCAACACGAATGAAGAATGAGTCCTCACACAGATCTGCATGGGAGATCAGCTCTGACTGTGTTGAGTCTGGATCTGCTCTGAGGGAGTGTGTGTCATCAGGTTCCTCTTCCTCCATCATGGAGATCACCTGCGCAGGTAGGACCATCAGTGACTTTTTCTATGACAGTAATCTTCCCAGTTTCTTGGTATAAATGTACTGCGTCATGTTCTCAGTTAAACTCCTTATTTGGTATGAAATGCTAAGACTCAGAGGTCTGCTCAGCAACATTACAGATGTGAATATGTTTGTATCTTAATCATTGCTGTTGAAAGAAGACTTTGCAGATTGTACTAATGTTGAAACTGCTTGTGTGACTTCTTCAGTTCAAATGTCAACACTCAAGTGTCTCACCCCACATGGTATCTGAATGTTCTCAGTCATCCAGGTCATGGTTTTCCAAGGAAGTTTAAATCAAGGGCAACTGGTTGAAGATACTCAAATACTTTTTTTTTACCTTTTATAATAGAGGCTTATTCAATTCTGACTGACCGGGAGTCCCAGCTATTTAACCTCTGTGGTGTCGTTATCATGGTGATGGATGTCGCTTGGTTTGTTAGTGCTCATGGCTGTGGGAACAACAGATGTTAGGGTCGTTGGAGTCACGCAAGGCAAAATGTTAAGTCTGTTCACTATCCCGGGAAGAGGTGAAGGACAGCATTGTAAGTGGGGAATAAGTGGTGTCACAAACCTCCTCCCTGTTGAGAGACAGTTTCTTCACTCCGGTGTAGATGGCCTCTTTCACTCCTATTTAACACCAAATGTCCTCCTTGTCCAGAATATGAACATTACTATTGGTAGTGTCACCTTGGTTCGAATCCTACCTCTCCGAGTGTTCCTACAATGTTTAGGGAGGGGGGGCCCTAAGTCTCAGTGCCAGGGCCCCTCCTCTTCTCAGTTTACACCACCTCACTGGTGCAGATCATTCAATTGCATGGCTTCTCTTACCACTTCTACGCAGATGATACGCAACTCTACCTATCTTTCTCGCCAGATGACCCCACCGTTGCGGCGCGGATCACGGACTGTCTCTCACACATGTCTGCATGAATGAAGGCTCGTCACTAAGGCTGAAACGGTTCATCGATTAAAATCGATTCATAAAATGCTTCGACACAAATTCTTTGAATCGATGCTTCGTTTAGTCCATTTAAATATACAGCACAGTGTTTCACAGGGACAGTCATTACTGTCGCACATTGCGCTTACGCTGTGAACACGACGTGATTATGATGGCGCTGTTTGCAAAGTGGAGGAAGAGAGAAAACAGCGAGGGACGGAGAAGAAAGTGTCCAAAGTCTGGGATTATTTCAAGCTAAAGAAAACAACAACTCTGTAATGTTACCGTCCGTCCAGCTTAAAACAAAACTTATGTGGCCTCGGCAACAGCACGACGGCACCTTATCAGAAAGCCCCAGTGTTCTGCCAGTGGACCACAGACAAGTAACAGCAACATTAGCATTTAACTGAAATCATGATTGATTGTTGAGTTGAAGCCAAAGTAAGCTGCAGTCCTCCGCTGAAAATGTGACCACGTGCGTTTGTTGTTCTCCTTTTTGGGCCGCGAGTTGTGACCTCACAGTCAGGAGTTAACTGGGTGTCATGGAGCTGCACCTTTTAACGCACCTGCAGCTCTATCTGTAGCTCAGACAGTCCCTGCTACCTGCATGTGCTGATCCCTTTCACCCAGATTCTTTGTTTTTATAATTGCCATCTTTATAATAACACACACAAGCTGTTTTCGTGTGCAGGATCGCTCATTTCCTGTTTCACATTTCACGTGCGTTTTCTTGATAAAAGTGGTTTGGAAACTGGCGTCGGGTGCCATAGCTGTTGTCAGCTCCAGTAGTGTGTGGGACCCCCTGACATATGATGGCAAGTTGTGTGAACGGCACTGAAAGTTGTGTTGTCTGCACGAGTCTGTAGTATAACTTGCATAGCACTCGGGTGATGTTTGTGTTTGTAAAGCAGCTGTCTGGTCTGATTGCTGTATGATACACTATGAATTTCCGAAAGGACTATTAAATATCTATCACCTATAAACATGCACAGCTGATCTGGTTACCGGGGGGGGGGAGCTGCCAAGCAAAAGTACTTCTTAAATGACACATTGATGAGCTGTTGAAATAATCCATAGAAGCTTTTAATACTAAAATCATCGTTACCTGCAGCCCTACTTGTCACCTACAGCTAAACCTCCAAGACTGAACTCTTGGTCATTCCAGCCAAGCAGTCTGTCCACCATAACATCAAACTACAAATTGACTCCTATCAGGGCAGTGAGAAACTTGGGTGTCATGATTGATGACCAGCTGTCCTTTTCAGACTATGTTGCTGCTGTGCCGCTTTGCTCTATACAGCATAAGGAAAATCAGGCCCTACCTCACTCAGCACGCCACCCAGCTTCTGGTACAGGCCATGGTTATCTCTCGCATCGACTATTGCAATGCCCTCCTAGCAGGTCTTCCAGCTTGTGCGGTCAAACCCTTACAAATGGTTCAGAACGCAGAAGCGCGTCTGGTTTTTGATCAGCCCAAAAGGACTCATGTCACTCCATTACTCAGTGACCTCCACTGGCTCCCCGTGGCCTCCAGAATCAAATTCAAGTCACTAATGCTGCATACAGAGTGACTACTGGGTTTGCCTAAGCTCCGTAATACGCATAAAGTTTACGTTCCTTCTCCGCCACTACGCTCCTCCAACGAACGCCGCCTGGCTCTGCCATCCCTTCACACAAAGCAATCTCAGTCCCGGCTATTCACATCTGTGAAACCATGATGGAACGAGCTACCACACGCCATCAGAGCAGGGGTGTCCCTCTCTAACTTCAAGAAGCTCTTGAAAACTCATCTCTTCCTAGAACACTTTCGCTTATAACACCTCTAACTCCTAACCTCCAACATGCACTTCCTGTGCTCTTCTTCTGAAGACCCTTACAATTATCTTGTACTGATTACACCTTTTTTTGTTAACTCTTACTTCCTTCCCTAGATATTTACCTCTGGTGCAATTAGCTCTTCTTAGAATTAATTGATTCCCTTACTATTATGTATTGTCAGTTGTAGATCTTGTGCTGTATTGATGCTCTGTTGATGCTTGTATGTTGTTCCTCAAATGTAAGTCGCTTTGGATAAAAGCGTCTGCCAAATGTAAATGTTTACTTACATATTTACTTACCACCATTTGGTGTTCTTCTGAAACTTGTGGCTGTTTCCACAGAAAGGTCTAATTGGGTATCCACTGTTCATCCTTCAGGAGTTTATGCTCCTTCCCTTGGGTTTGGGCACTTGTTGGTATGTTGTCAGCTCGGTGGTGCAGAGTTCTGAAGACCCCTAGAGGGTGGTGAGAGTTAAAGAGCAAATCCTGTGTGCTTTGGATTCTATATACCCCATGTGGAGGCTTCTGTCCTCTTCAAAGTGTACGGCACAGTCCAAGAAGGCCAAGCTGTTCTGCTGACATCCTCTTGTGTGAACTTGATGTTACTGTCCATGGTCCACATATCTGTCTTGTAGTACCTGTGTCCTTACGGTTTCCACTGCCTTCAAGGTGGAGATTCATGTGAACAACATGGTGTCCTATGATGGGAGCTCCTTGTTCACATGTATCCCCAACATGGAGGCAGTAGAAACCGTAAGGACCCAACTGCTTAAAGACACACCCTGAACAACAGAACTAACCTCAGCGCAGACCAAAATTAAAACCCAAAGCAGTGGACAGTAACATCAAGTTCACACAAGAGTATGTCAGCAACAACATTTTGGCCTTTCTGGACTGTGCTGTACACACTGAAGAGGACAGGAAACCCACACACAGACTAATACTTAGTCCTTGACTATCACCACCCTCTGCATAGGATAGGGGTCATCAGAACTCTGCACCACCGAGCTGACAACATAATTATTGTTAATGGAATTAATGGTTTGGAAATATGTATACATACACAAATAAGATTCTCTCTCTCTCTCTTCAGACTCTGTCAGGCTGGTGAACGGGACTGGTCTGTGTTCAGGCAGACTGGAGGTGAAGTCTAACCAGTCTAACCAGTAAACCAGAGGTGGTCCTCAGTGTGTGAAGCTGACTTTGACCAGCAGGATGCAGAGGTGGTCTGTAGGGAGCTCGGCTGTGGGGCTCCTTCAGTCCTCCAGGGGGCGCTCTATGGAGAAGTGGAGGCTCCGATGTGGACCAAAGAGTTCCAGTGTGGAGGCCATGAGTCTGCTCTCCTGGACTGTAGAAGCTCAGGCTCAGCTAGAAACACCTGCTCACCTGGAAAAGCTGTTGGACTCACCTGCTCAGGTAGAAGAGGAGCTGCAGCTTTGACTTGGTTCATTTCTGTTCTAGTGAAACATTTTGTTTTGCTGATGACTCTCTTGTTTCTGTTCAGAACCTGTCAGGTTGGTGGGAGGAGCCAGTCGCTGTGCAGGAACACTGGAGGTGAAACGAGGAGAATGGAGACCAGTTTATGGCTCTAACTGGATCCTGAAGTCAGCAGCTGCAGTCTGTAGAGAGCTGGATTGTGGATCTGCTGTTTCAACACGAAGCAGAGAGGACTCCTCAGACAGACCTGGATGGGAGATCAGCTCTGACTGTGTTGAGTCTGGATTTGCTCTGAGGGAGTGTGTGTCATCAGGTTCCTCTTCCGCCATCATGGAGATCACCTGCTCAGGTAGGACCATCAGTCACAGTGACAGTCTGTGGTAAAGTTATGTGGGACAAAGCTCCTCTCCTCCAAAGGGTAGAGAGGTGGACCTGCTCCTGGACGCTCACTACTTTAAACTGTGGCCCCTTCAAGCAGCCTGCTGTAGTTCCATGTATAGATGTTGATGTTAACACTCACCTGTTTCATTTCAGCCAGACAGGTGCATTAAGGAGAGAGCCAGCAGGCTGTAAATCATCTTTCTATCAGTACACAGAGAGGATCAGAGCAGCTCGCTCTGTAAGAACAGAATCAGAGAGTTACATGCTGAAGTGATTTTAGGGGATTTAACATCACTGAAGTTCATGTTGTACCCATGATGTCATGTGATCTGACGTGATGCGTTTCATCAGATCCAGCAGTTGTTATCTCCAGACTGGTGGTCCTGCCGCTGTTGTTCATCGCTGCCATCTGTTTCATCCATAAGGTACGTACACATCTCTGTTGATCAGAGGACTGGCTGCTCAGCTTCTGAACATTGAACTGAAGAGAGCAGTGATGCAGCGACTCATATCTGTGTGCTGCCATGTCTCTCCAGGCCACCAGGGGGCAGAAGCCAGACCCACAGGAGAACGTGGAGCTGGATTAGCATAACCTCTGTGTTTGCAGAGCTGAAGGACTGACAGACCAGAGTGATGGTTCCCAGTTTTAACAAAAGGGGGTCAGAGGCTGAGCTATAACGATGGGAGTATCACATGGCTCAGCCTCTGTGGGAAAGCTCATGGCTTCCATCCTGATCACAGAACCGTGGGCCAGCTCTGAACCCCTGTAAGGACACTGGAGGCGTCCACCAATCTACATGGGCTTTGGTCCGTCTCTTGCTCTCCCGTCTGTGATTATTAATGAATCCGTCTTAAGAGTGTCTTGATTGAACAGGCCAACATATGATATTCAGCTCCCTCATTTATGATTAGACACGGTGATCCTTGTCAGCATATCCTTTATTCAACTATGCATCACAGTATATATCTTGCCTGGCTGTTTATTATATGTGCAAATATTATAAATAAATGATCATATCTGACAGAAGATGTTATGACTCTTTAATGTGTGTACATCTTTTTAATATGAGAGTCATCTGTAAAGATTCTCAGTCATCTAGGTCATAGTTTGTAGTTAAAATCTAGGTTGAAGATACTCGAAGACGCCTCTCATAAGGAGATATGTTCTGAATGACTGGTAGAGTCCAAGCTAATTAACCTCTGTTGGGTTGTTATCAGTCTCTGGTTTCTGTTGCTTGGCCAACACGAGTCCCATTTAGTCCAGACCGGAGCTTGAGGAGCGGCCTTCAGTCAGAGCCGGGCCTACATGGCTTCTATCCCGGCTTTTCTTCATAACAGCTGTTGTTACAACAGCCAGAAGCTCTAACGAACCCGCGCTATCGATCATCTTGACAACGACCCCACCAAAGGCTAAAGAGGTGGTATTCTGCTTTTCCCCTCTCTTTTATTGAGTTATATTCCTTTTTTGTGCTGTAACAGGTTTGTAAAGTGAAAAGGTTCCCATCTCTCACAGAAAACTCTGCTCTGAACTGAAAACCGCTTGTTTGTAGTCCAGCCTTTACTTCCGCTTTCTTGTGATGTCACAAGAAAATACTTGTCATAACGCTCGCCGAGCGGCGACTCCGACACGCCCTCAGAAACAGCGAGCTGCAGCACACAGCTCTCCTCTCCCTTCCAAACACTAGCTACCCTCCAGGCAGGCAGTGGACATAAAGTTGTTCCTGTGATGTAGAGACAGAGCTCAGTTAAAACTTTATGGATACAGATTAATAAGTCACCGCTCTGAAACTCTCGCTCCAGTCCGTGTTGCCGAGCCGGTCGGCAACACGTACGGCTGAACCCGAGCCGTTTACCGGCTTCTCGCCGACCCGCCCTTCTCTGCTTCTGATTGGCTAGTAGTCCTTAACTAGGAACTGAGCATGTGCAACTCCCAACAAAGATCATTTAGAGACAAGATGCATCACTCCATAGCTAAAACGAAGCCTTCAACACAGAAAAGAGGAGCTGCAGCAATGTGCAGTAGAACAAAAATATAACCATGTAAACCTGCTCTGGTACAAACTCTAAATAAGATGAGGAACCTGAACATGAGCAGAATACCACCTCTTTAAATTTAGAGTTTCTCTCAGATGACAAATGAAAAAGTCTTCAAGTATCTTCAACCAAGTCCAGTTGCCCTTCATGTCAACCTTCCTTAGATAATGTCCTTCAAGTTCCAAGTAGAAAAGAGTCTGCAAACGTAGACGTAACGTTTTGTTAGCTGTGAATACTGTTCACAAAACATTCATTAAATCAGATGTGATCTGACTGCCTAGGTTTATTTTCATTAGATTAATTAGTGTTAATTTCAAGTTGTTTTACCTTGAACGTCCTGCATTGGTGGTTTTCAGCTGGACTAGCGACCAGGCTCTATGGGCGGCGGTTTCTCTGTAGGTCAGTCACTTTCCATTCGTGGCTTCTCCCAACCCCGATTTCTGTCCTCTCCTCGCCTCATAGCTCCTCTCAGTGGGTGGAGGGAGAGATGATATATTCTTTTCTTTAAGATGAGAACTGCTATTCATGATGCTCAGCACCTCATCTGTCAAATGTGCATCACATAACTTGGCAGCTGATGTCACAACACACTGTAACGTGGACACTTTAATAGAGACAAAGGGCGGCTGCTGACACAGACTTTAGGAAGACATTGGTCTGATTCAGCTCTGCATGTTGGGAACTCTTCACTCTTCTGACTTGGCTGAACACCACAAAGGGAAAGAAGTGAACTTGTTCCTTGGTTCACGGCCAAAGATTTCAAAGTAAGGTTCACCAGATAATCCTGCTGACAGAAAAACTGACCCAGCTGAAACAAAACAAAGCTTGGTAGATATTCAGACGCGAGCCCTTTCAATAAAAACTTAAAATTTCACGTCTTTATTACGTCCAGCTTCAAATCACATACAAAAACATACATTAGTCAGAATCCTTAATAAAATTAAATCTTCCATTAACCTGAAGACAAAATAAATAAAACAGAAACATAAGTGCAGTCGAGGCCTTTGGTGCAAATCTATTCCTTCTTCTTCTAAAACTTCCTGAGAAAGATGTTTTTTGTGAAAGTTACATTACGGTCAGTGCTGCAGCTGTGAGCGGGACCAAATACTCACACATGGGGGACATTTGGCAGGTTTTAGGTCATAATGGATCGTATTAACCCCCTCCTCTCCTGAGGCCATTTCAGTGGATGTGCTGGGGCATAAAATCCACAGTTAAATATGATTTGGTCTTTAGTTTGAAACGCTTTGTGTTCCTCTATTGCGGCTCGGTAAGGATGCAGTGAATGTGGAAACACAAAGACAACATTTCTCTCTAAAAAGACCAAAACTCCGTTTGATTTGTGAATTCAAGCTGTCGAAGCTTCAGATTTATCTTCAGCTGAACTTTAAAAATGTGTTTAGAGATTTTGTCCCTTCACCAGGAGGGTCAGTTAGTTTCAGGACATTAATGGGAATAAAGAGTTGGAACATGTCCCGCTCTCGACAGCAATAATGTTCAGATAAAAAGAAAAGTGGGGCTCAAACATGAAGGAGCTTCAGCACAGAAAATACAAAACACTGATATAAAAATATTAACTATTGACAGAACATATAGACGTCACATCAAATCTGTCAGTGTTTCCTTTTTCCACAGGAAAACCAGACGCTCAGATCACATCTGGTCTGGAAGGAAGGAAGCGAGTTTATGGTCACTGGGGAGACTTGAGAGCAGCTGAAAGTGAAGCGTGCGGTTTCTCAGGCACAGTTAGCAGCAGGAGGCTGAAGCAGGAAACAGCAGACATGTTGCTCTGCCGTCTCCACGCCGTCTGTGGATTAAATACTCGTCTCTGGGGCGTCCTCAGGCGTCCCGTGCACCCTGAAGCGGTACATGCAGGTGTATTCCTGGTGACCCCAGTTGGACGACACCTGTAGCTCGATGATCTGGAAGGCTCGGTCGTTCTGCTCCTGCGCAGGACAAATTAAACGGATCATTTGGACGTGAAACACGAACTCACCGTCATCAGCGCGTAAACGAGCACTCTGCAGTCTTTACTCACAGCGACGGAGAAGGTCTGCAGAGCTTCTCCATCCTGGTCGTAGCTGTAAGAGCCCAGCAGCGTCCCTCTCTCCTGACTCTCATCATCCAGACCCTGGGGACAAAAACAAACAGCTGAACAGAAACCGAGCATCTTTCTGACGGGCCGGAGCTGCTGGCTGCGCCTCGCTCTCTTACGTAGACGCTGAAGTCTCGGGGGGCGCTGAGCAGCGTCCCGCTGGGTGCCAGGGCTTTGGGGATGTGCTCCAGGGAGAAGGCGGTGGGGACGATCTTCATGGAGAGGCGGATCACCAGGAAGCCCGCGGAGCCTCTGAAGGCCCAGCAGTTTCCTGGATGGACGTCCGGCTGCAGGAGGCCAGAGAGAGTTTCTGCATGATCACTTTCTCTTTGGTGGATTACAGTTTTAATTTAGCCGCCCGTACGACCTACGTACCTGGATGACGACCCGAGGAGACTGAGAGAAATACCAGAGGGGAACTCCGAACAGACTGAGCAGAGCCGCCTTCGTCTTGTACGTCTGTGAGCAGCGAGTGCTCAGGACGCTGCCCCCTGCAGGACGAGCACAGACACACACCCGTCAGGAACGGCTCACGGCGACACGTCACATCGTAGTGCGGTCAAGATTTATGTCTTCAGTAGGAACCAATGGGCCGAGAGCCGGGAGCCGCGGACAGGAAGTCAGACTGACTGGCTGTTGGTTTGAGTCTGAGCATTATTCAGACAACATACTGATCCTGTTGCACCCGAATTATGAAGATCGTTTCTCACCTCCAGACTCCAGAGCGTAGTCGGCCAGGCCGGTCCGGTCCTGAGAAAACAGGCGCAGAGCGTTCTCCACGATCACACGGACGTCCTGGGAGAGACGAGAGAGGCGGATTAGGAAACGACAAGAGTCTAAAAATGTGACGACAGCCATCGTTAAAAATAGAAAAATGGTCCCACTTCAAGCGAGCAGTCACATTTACAACAGGGAGAGAAGAGACCGAGCCAAAAGACTTAATGATGGTCGGTCTAGAAAAACCAGCCCCTCAGGACTGTAAGAGCTCTGGAACGCCACATGTAGGACAGAGGAAGCATGAACTAATAATAAAATAAAAGATCCACACCTGACTCTTACCTGACTGCTCATTTCTTTCAGGTTTATTAACAGGGACTAATAAACACAAAAGTATAAACGTGCCAGAATTAACCAAAAGGCCATTTGACCCCTGCTGTGCCGGGACAGATCGTGATCGTGAGGCTGAGCACGGAAACAACTTCACAAAATGATTCCACTAACACTTCTCTAAATCGCCGTTATGAGACGACAGGTTTTCCTGCCGACAGCAGTGACCTCGTTCACGACAGGTGTGACGGCGTGGACTGAAAAACGACTGACCACAGTTCTAGTTTACGGGGCAGGTTCTCCACCAGGTCCTGGTCTTTACCAAGAAACGGTCTGGAACAAAGTCCTTTCAGAGAGAACCTGTTCATTTGTTTAGAGGCGCTGCTGCGGGGAAACGGCGTGCCTCGTTCTGTCCAAGGGGAATAAAGTTTTTAAATGCACTGACATGAGAGTGGCGTCACTCTGACCAGACCCCCAACACGCTCACCTCCGTGGTCACGGCGGCCCCAGCGGCCCCGGTGGCGTGCAGGACGGCCTCTCTGACCGTCTCCTCGCTGCGGCGCTGCTCCAGCTGCAGGCTGATGTTCTGCAGGATGCTGAGCTCCAGGGAGGCCAGCGACGCCTTCAGGTCGGCCCCGGTGACGTACTGCTGCGACAACCACCGGAGGAGAGACTCCGGGAGGCCCGCGTCGTCGTCCCCGGAGGCCCCGCCCCTCACCGCCAGCTGGTTGCCGTAGACCAGAGTACGAACCTCCTCACGGACCTGAGCGGACACGTGCGCTGAAATCTGACAGAGGACACGAGGGAAAGGTTTTCACAGCTGAAGCTGAGAGATTATTATTATCACGGTTGTGCAGCATTTGCTCGGCGCCGCTCAGCGTCACCTGCAGCTGTGACGGTCCAGCTGACGAGGCGAACCCTCGCCGCGTCTTCACTGTTACTGTAATAATAAGTGAGGTTTGCGTCTTCTCTCTCACCGTCTGCCGGATTCTGTCGAGCTGTTGGCCGTCGCCCTGACACTCTGACAGATCCTCAACGTGCTGCCGGACGTCCTCCAGAGCCGCCGCCAACCGCGCAACCTCCGCCAGCAAGGCATCATGGGACAGACGGTCCACACCAACACTAGAGGAAGTTACAAGACAACAGATAGTTGAAGAGTTCCCTTCACAGAAGAAAGCAAAGTTGGACTGCTGCCTTTTATTTCTGCTCACATTTGGAAACTAAACTACAGCCGAGGACGAGGCCTTGGAAGGTTACCTGACGGCGGCTGGAAGTGTTGTTGGTGAGGTTGGGACTGCGGCAGCTTCGTGTCTCCGCTGCACCTCCTGATGAAGAACAAAAAGTGTCCTGAAAGCGAACAAACACAACGGAGCGTCTGCTTTTATAAACCACACAGTACCTCTGTCTTTGCAGCCAGCGTCCGCAGCTGCAGCTCCAGCTGATCCAGACGAGACGTTTGGCTCTGCTGCTGCAACAGATCCTGCTGCCGAGTCTACGGGAACACAAACAGACTCCCATCATCCTCAGCGGCCTGTTCGAGCTTCAAGAGGGGGCGGTAAAAATCCAGGAAATAACGGACGTGGCACCAACATGTCAAGACTAAGTGCAGATAAACTGAGTTTATAACAGCTGACAAATGAGACGGAAGACGGACCCTTCGATCGTGTTACGAGTGATGTCCAGCAGAGGGCGCTCTGCAGCTCCCTGTTGCCAACAGCGACCAGCCGTCATAATAAAGTTTATTATGGCCCGAGCATGAAACACGCGAGGTCCCTATTGGAATTATTTCTCTTTTTCCTGCAAAGTAACCTCAACTTCGCACATTAATTCAGATGCGGTGAAAATTTATATATTGATTGGTTACACGCATGGGCGTGGCAAAATGGCTCGCTTGCGCCCCTACAGAGCAGCCAGCGGACAAAGTTTCACCTACGTGTACTAAATTTCTGTGGTAAGTGTATCTTGTCCAGACACACAAAAAAGCCTCTTGGAGCGATGCCCTAAACCCAACAAGAAGTCGGCCATTTTGGATTTAATGGTCATTTTTGGCGATTTACACATTTTGTACTTTAACGAACTCCTCCTGGGCGTTTAGTCCGACCGACTTCAGATTTGTGCTGTGCAGTCTAAACACATTGACAATTAAAAGTTGTTACGTTAAGTGTTTCTGAAAAGCAGATATATCGAAATATTGAACGAGAATCTCAAATCATTATGGATCTTAAAAATCACGCTGTTCAACTTGCACTGAAACGTGTTTGAATATAATGTTTCCCATAATAAATGATTGGTGAATAAATCAGGGGGCAACAAAGTCTGAGTCATCTTGAGATCCCTGCGATTTATTTTGAGACCCCACGTGGGTCCCGACCCTCACGTTAGGAACCAGAGATGTCCCTGACCTGGTCCCTGTGCAGTCTCTCCTCGTCCAGTTGTCTCCTGAGCTGGTCCAGCTGCCGGTCCAGCAGGCCGCTCAGCCAGGGCTCCAGTCCCTCGCCGTCGCCCTGGAGGTCAGCGTACAGCCGGGCCACCTCCCTGTGTCTCTGCTCAGCCCGCCGCCCTCCGGCCTCCACGCGCTCCCACAGCGCCGTCAGACTCTGCTCCAGGCGAACGAGCCGCACAGACTCCGCTGCCGCCTCCGCCTCCTCCTCCTCCTCCTCCTCTTCGTCCTGCGAAGCAACAGAGACTTTAACCTTTTCATTAGAGTTTTGGACCAAACAGTAAAACCCAGATTATAAGACACCAGATATGGAAAAGATATGAAACACTGCTGGGAAGTTTATCTGTAAAGCTGCTTTCAGCAACAAGGCGAGTCCAACAGCTTTAATATTTATTGTATTAATAATTTGTGTTTCTGTTTCAGGGGGAGGAAAACGTTTGTGGGGATGGGAATAATTATTGTTGAATATATGAGTGTAACAGATGTAGATCCTCTTATCTAGTTAGGAAAATGAGTTTATTGTATTCTGAAAGCTGGTGGGAGGGGCTACTGGCTTTGGGCCTGGTTACGGAGGAGGTAACTAGCTACTTATTGAAGAACTCCCGTTTCCAAATGCTTGTGCTTATTTATTTTTTGTCGTTTGTTCTCAGTTTTCTCTCTTTACACAAGATATTTTCACTGTTTGCTCCTTGGAGGCCGGCGTAATAATAAAAATCACACACTATTTTTAGACTTCGGCTGCGTTTGGATGAGAGCCCGGCTACAAGCAGGAGCCAGGGAAGGATTTTACTTTTAACTGTCTTTTAACTTTTAGAATAAATTAATAAATGTTGTACCTACTAAATAATCCAGATGAGCAGGATCTTTGTTTAGAATACAGAACGTATTAAAACCTACAGAAGCTTTATAACACTCACTTTAACAGCTGAACCGGGCGCCAGCGGTGCCTCCTCCCCTGACGGCGTTTCAGCCGGTGGAGGTCGGCTGTAGGTCAGCTCCACGTAGGGCTGCACCTCCCTTGACTCCTCCACGGCGCCCTCTGCCGATTGGCTCTGGGGGGACATGAAGCTGTAGATGGAGGACAGACCGGAGACGTCAGAGACCGCCGTCCTCCACTCTGTGATGTTGACGGACTGTAGACCGGCCGGACCGAACGAACACAGGCCTGACAGGACGAGAACGGAAACACGGCGTTTAAATTAGACTCTGGATGACCTCCAGTCTCCCTCAGTTTCTAACAAGTTAAACAACTGCTGACTGAAGAGGAAATCAGATTGTAGCGTGGATGGAGACGGACAGGCTGATGCGTTACAGGTGTGTGTTCAGCTAATTCCAATAAAGGAAATATGAGATGATCAGTGTGACTTGAGTGTAAGAAAACTAAACACCTGGTGGAGTTTAGGTTAAAATAAAAGGCGTGAGGCAGTCGGACCGATAAATGACAGAGACGGTGTGCAGAAACCTACTGAAGAGGAGCAGCAGAGGGAGGAGAACCAGGAGGAGCGTGAGGGGAGACCTGCAGGAGAACCAACAACATGTCTGATTAAAGAGCAGCAGCAGCTTGAGCCTCAGTTTGGTTAGACAAAATAAATCGTCTGCACTCTGAAGGTCTGCAGCTGAAACATTTACAGGACGCTGTGCAACCTTCAGCACATTACTTCTACTCTGCATGTTCAAATACGTGTCAGCGCTGAAGCACAGGAGAAGTTTTCTGTAATCCAGGCTCAATGCAGCAGGACGGACGTCTGTGTTTCTAAGCTGGATACGTTAGACTTCTTCCTCTGCTGTGACAGTGAACACATCACACGGGGCTGCAGGAAATCTGTGCTACTTTAATAGATAATGACACCAAGGACCTCTCTGTATCCGTGATGTGCAACAGCAGCTCGTCTTAACTACAGACCGCCGGCTTCAACCAAAATAAAACTATTGTAAAAACTTGCCGAGTGCGGAGGAAGCCTGCGGTCATGGGATGCCATCGTCCGTTGAGCCACCTGTACGCAACCACTGCCGTCTTACCTAAACACACAAACACACAGTTTAAATCTCTCTTTACGTGATGAGACGAGTGACTGAAGCCTTTCAGCAGCGGAGCAGGAGGCTGCAGGTCAGCAAGCAGGAAGGAGAAACTGTTATTAAACAGGAGGAGGCAGGACACCCAGAGAGCAAACACAAGACGCACAGAGTTCACTTTCAGTTTTTAATTACCACCTTTGTTTCATCATTTCCTCATTCGGTCTGAGCGAACTGAAGTGAGCTGCGTGGTTTCAGTTTCCTCACCGCAGCTGTTCCGGCTTTCTGCTTTTAAACGACAGTTTGTTGACTCCGAGTGAGGATTCTTCCCAAGCGACGCAAATATCAACAAGAAAAACGATCTCTCCGGCTCCGTTTGACAGAGTCAAAGGTCCAGTTTGAGCCCTGAGATGCTTAAATCGTCTGTAAATGAAAAGCTGTGACTCGCTGCGCTTGTGCGTCTTGTGATTATTGGACATGATTAAAAAAAAAAAAAAAAAAAAAACACAATCCCCTGCAGAAGACAACAGGAACAACAGAAGAAGAAGCGGCACACCGAGCGTCATCTCATCTACCCACTTCAGAAGAGAAACATCAAACACAAACATGCTGCGAATCAGAAGAAGAGCAGGAGTCAGTCGGGGGGGGGGCTTCAGTAAAATAAAGACGTGACACGGCGTTAACCTGCAGAGCGTGCGGCGCTCCGAGAAGCTGAACATATTTCTTTGGTCAGAGGCCAAATGGCTGCAGCTGCCCTGAGAGTCAGCCGCCAGAGACACGAAGCTGAGGAGGCAAAGAGGAAATAAGATGACGGGCAGGTTATAAAATCCTCAAACTGTTCATGAGAAGAAGGTGCAGGATATTAAAAGCTGTTCCACGGTTCGATTCCCGACAGCTGAACTGAATCAGACCGTCTCTATTTTCCATCTGCAGCTTCACATTTTTATTTAGCTTCTTAGTTTCTGTTCGTGCTAGAAATGAACGCCGCCTCTGCAGACCGAGCCCGACTCATTTACGTCCCTTGTGCTGGTCCTTCATGTTTAAACATCTATCAATTAAAACAGGTGTGAGCTCAGACAGCCTGCATGTTACTCATCATTACTTCTTCAGCTTGTACAGCTAGTTTGTTTCTATCTATATCTACGGGTTTTATCGCAGGCAGGTTAAGTTTGAGAGGCTGGATTCACCGTCGGCAGCTGGCAGCTTGGTCGTCACTTTAAAAAACTAAAACATTTAACAAAAGGCTCCAAACATTTTTCTAAATTACCTCAATGAAGGAACTAAAAGAAATGAAACCAGTTTGCTGAACTGTTTTAATGGGCCCAGACTTCTTTTAGAGGGAAAACATCTGATGTTGTTCTGCGATAGATGAATTACAGATGATGTTTTTGGTCTAATATTAGTCCTGCACTGAAGGAATACGACTGTGAAACTAATATTTACATTTCATCCAAACAACAAGTGGAAAATGTGTTTCTGCAGGTCGTTCGTTAGATTCATTAGTTAACCTGTAAAGACGGCGGCGCTCCACATCAGCCCCAACAAACAGGAAGCCACTGAGGACCACGAGGCCGAAGGCGAGGAGACGGCGTCGTCCGTGTCCGAGCGCCTTTTCCCCTCACAGTCGTCACCTGTTGGCGTCAGCAGGCATGAGGTGCGTTTAACTGACAGACACAAAGCGGGAAACAACATGACGCACTCAGAGTCAGTCTGCTTCATGAAATCAGGGGCAGAGATGAAGTTGACCAGCTGTTCCAGGCCTCCACTGCTTCCTCTCCATTTTCAGTGAAGTCATTACGTGTCGCTGCAGACGTTTCAAAGAGGATCAGTCCAGTGTTACTTTCAAATTGAAACAGACCGTTACTTGTTGTAACGGTCTGTTTCAATTTGATCTTTAAGTATTGCCATTATATTTGAACCACCACTAACTGAATATCCTACCTACACTGCGACACGACCAACAAGTTTGCCTACTAACAAATCCCAACATGACTCAGATGCAGTCTGACTTCTGTTCTCGATGCAAATCTTTAAAACCACCTCACAGGTGTAAAGATTCCTGTTTCAGGGGCTCAGATATTTCCTGAAGCGGCTGCTCTCTGTAGCTTCTGAACAAACAGGAGGAAACAGAGCAACTACTGGGGACTACTTTCAGCAGCGGAGTAATCCACATGTGGTGCGAGGGACCTGGAGGACTATAGAAATGAACTTACTAATAAAAAGGCCAAGCATTCATTAAAATACTCAGCTGTACAGTGTCTGAGTTTCTCACTGCGTCTCTCCTGGTGTCCTTTAACAACAACATGCGCTTCGATCTGGACTTTGTCGACTTCGAGAAGCCTCAACGCTTAAACACACACACACACACATCTCAAGAAACGTGACTATGGTGGGAAAGTTCACGGCGAGAGATTAAAGGCTCAGGAAACCTGCGCAGGCTCTTCTCAGGTCCACGTTTCTCTTTTAGAAAGAAACATTTTGAGGTCCTGGAGTTTTGATTTCCATGAGCTGCAAACCGTGTTGAAATGTTTCACTTTATGTGGAATCAATCTAAACATCTGGAAGTTTCACATTTTGAATTCAACTATGGAAGAATATAAACTTTCCCACGATTTTCTATTTTTACAGAACTGCAAGAATCAAGTACATCAACTTCTTCAAAGAGCTACATTATTATTTAAACCCGTGTCCTGACTCCCGCCGCCCCGTGTGGCCACGAGGAAGCGTGAGCGTGTTCTGTAGTAACTCACACAGAGATCCGCTGGGTTGAAGCTCCTTCTGGTTCGTGCTGGACTCCCTGAGGTTCATGACTCCACAGCGACCGGATCGACCTGCAACAGGAGAGGAAACACGGTCAGGACTCACCGGCGGGCCGACGCCCCACCAGGTCCACGTCCTCGGAGCTGAGCAGGCAGGGAGCAGGACGGATTTGCATTTCACCACGGCAACAGCCAAAGTGACGCGCCGCGGTCCATTTGTTTGGGAGGGACACAGGTGAGGGAGGGGGGGGGTCAGGACAGAGCACCAGATCCTTAGTGAGGAAACCAGAGAACCCTTTGTGAACACAACACCACAGAACCACAGCGTAAACAAAGGACACATGGACCCCCGAAGTTCACCTTGGAAAAAAGAAGTAGTTTGTGTTTTGTTCTAGTGGCCTTTGAGAACATTCAGTGGACAAAGATTCAGATTCTGGAGATTTTTCAAGTCCTTCGTGAGGTTCTAGCGGCCCTATAAGAGGCTCCTGTGCCAAGTGGGGAGGTTCTAGCGGTCCTATAAGAGCCTCCTGTGCCAAGTGGGGAGGTTCTAGCGGCCCTATAAGAGCCTCCTGTGCCAAGTGGGGAGGTTCTAGCGGCCCTATAAGAGCCTCCTGTGCCAAGTGGGGAGGTTCTAGCGGCCCTATAAGAAGCTCTTGTGCTAAGTGGGGAGGTTCTAGCGGCCCTATAAGAAGCTCCTGTGCCAAGTGGGGAGGTTCTAGCGGCCCTATAAGAGCCTCCTGTGCCAAGTGGGGAGGTTCTAGCGGCCCTAAAAGAGGCTCCTGTGCCAAGTGGGGAGGTGCTAGCGGTCCTATAAGAGGCTCTTGTGCTAAGTGGGGAGGTTCTAGCGGTCCTATAAGAGGCTCTTGTGCCAAGTGGGGAGGTTCTAGCGGTCCTATAAGAAGCTCCTGTGCTAAGTGGGGAGGTTCTAGCGGTCCTATAAGAGGCTCTTGTGCTAAGTGGGGAGGTGCTAGCGGTCCTATAAGAGGCTCTTGTGCTAAGTGGGGAGGTGCTAGCGGTCCTATAAGAGGCTCTTGTGCCAAGTGGGGAGGTGCTAGCGGTCCTATAAGAAGCTCTTGTGCCAAGTGGGGAGGTGCTAGCGGTCCTATAAGAAGCTCTTGTGCTAAGTGGGGAGGTGCTAGCGGTCCTATAAGAGGCTCTTGTGCTAAGTGGGGAGGTGCTAGCGGTCCTATAAGAGGCTCCTGTGCTAAGTGGGGAGGTGCTAGCGGTCCTATAAGAGGCTCCTGTGCTAAGTGGGGAGGTTCTAGCGGTCCTATAAGAGGCTCTTGTGCTAAGTGGGGAGGTGCTAGCGGTCCTATAAGAGCCTCCTGTGCTAAGTGGGGAGGTTCTAGCGGTCCTATAAGAGGCTCTTGTGCTAAGTGGGGAGGTGCTAGCGGTCCTATAAGAGCCTCCTGTGCTAAGTGGGGAGGTGCTAGCGGTCCTATAAGAAGCTCTTGTGCTAAGTGGGGAGGTGCTAGCGGTCCTATAAGAAGCTCTTGTGCTAAGTGGGGAGGTGCTAGCGGTCCTATAAGAAGCTCCTGTGCCAAGTGGGGAGGTGCTAGCGGTCCTATAAGAGGCTCTTGTGCTAAGTGGGGAGGTGCTAGCGGTCCTATAAGAGGCTCTTGTGCTAAGTGGGGAGGTTCTAGCGGTCCTATAAGAGGCTCTTGTGCTAAGTGGGGAGGTGCTAGCGGTCCTATAAGAGCCTCCTGTGCTAAGTGGGGATGTGCTAGCGGTCCTATAAGAGCCTCCTGTGCTAAGTGGGGAGGTTCTAGCGGCCCTATAAGAGCCTCCTGTGCCACGTGGGGAGGTTCTAGCGGCCCTAAAAGAAGCTCCTGTGCCAAGTGGGGAGGTTCTAGGGTTCATTTAGGTTGTAGTAGTGCTGTTTATGGAGGTAATAGTGGCACTGTAGTTGGTTCTGGGAGTCTTGTGGTCGGGTAGGGGTTCCCTAGGCGGCTGTCGTGGTCCTTGAGAAAGTTTAATTATCACCAGGGAAGTTTGGAGGTTCTGGTGGTTACTAAGAAGGTTCTGGGGATATCTGTGGAGGTTCTAGTGATCTGGAAAAGAACAGCATGTGCAGGTGAAGAAGAAGAAAGAGTCCCAGCAGAACAGATTCTCATGTCAGTAGTTCTGGACCCGTGTGTCAGGCGGACAGCCTCTGACAGTCAGTACCTCCTCGTCTGTGAGCGGTCCGTGCGTGGACCTGCGAGGCCAGCGCCCGGCACACCTGCCAGGTGTGCGTCAGCACAGAGACGCAGCAGGCCGCCGCTCTCCTGACACACGGCAGAGACGAGTCCAGCCACAGCCGCAGCACATCTGGAACAGCCGACAGTCGCACTTCAATAACGAGTCGAGAGAAACGAAGGAGCGCGCAGGGAAACCCACGACACCCGGAGGTGGGGCAGGAAGTTCACCTGTCTGACGTTCCATCACAGATCAAGACTTTATTATTTAGAAACAAAACATAAAAACTAGTTTGGACTGAAAGCTTGAGAGCAGCAACAAAAAGAGATCCAATTGGCCGGCAGTTACATTCAAAGCAGTCTGGCCAATCAGAGCTCCTGCTGATCTGTGGGTGGGCCTTAAGGTGGACCTCAGCAGGGCAGCATGATTATTTTCATTATCCACTAAAGGTCTATAAAGTGTGAAAAATGCGCATTAAAACTTTCCAGAGCCCAAAGTGACGTCTTCAAATTGCTTCTTCTTTGCTCCAACCAACAGTCCAAAACCCAAAGGCTCTGGATTTATTTTCATAAGAGACAAAGAAGCAGCAATTCCTCAATTTAAGGAGATGAAATCAGCAAACTTTCCATATTGTTGCTAAAAAAAATAATTTAAAAAAGCCTGAAACGATTATCGAATAGTTGTCTAAAGTTCAGCAGGTGTTTCCAGGTGTTCTTTATTTGGACAACATTTCCAGGCCCTCCAGGATCTCAAGGCCTTTTTGTGATCGTCTTAAAATTCCTGATTTTGGAGCAGCTTTTTAAAAAAAAACTACGATGTTGAAAGTTGTGACGTTTCGGCGTTTTGTGATGTTTGTGGGAATAAGTGAAAACTGGTTATGTAGAGGTGATGTGTGCAGCCTGTGTCTCAGCGCGTTTCTCTCTCAAAGGGTTTGTCAGGAGACGGTTTCCTGTTCGACCACGACGACAGCTTCCCGCTGCGGTGAAGAAGACCTGGATCCTGGTCTTCACGCTCCTTTGCTGTTGTAGGTAAATGTGAGACGTTGGTGTCGCACACGTCCGCAGCGTCTTCTCAACGAGGACGTGAGTTTGCTGCAGGACACGGCGATGAGAGGTCAGGTTAACAGAAAAGCTGAAACCGCGTTAATGTTTGTGATCACGACATCCTGGAGGGACGGAGACGACTTCATCTCACAGTACATTCACGATGCATCGTCACGTTGTCCAGAACATTAAACCAGCTCAACGGTCAGGACGAAGGCGGAGTCAGACTCGTTAACAGTAACGGCTGCAGCTCTGAACCCCCCCGGCTCACCTGTCCTGCTCTTGCGGCTCCGGTCTCTGCTGTAGATGGTGGAGGTCTCCTGGCCCCCGGGCTCCGAGGGTCCCGGCCCCGTCAGCGAGGCGGGGGTGTATTTGGAGGAGGAGCAGTAGGAGGCGACGGCCTCCCTCCTGTCTGAGGAGAGCTCGCAGTCCTTACAGTAAACCCTGCTGAGCGTCTGGACCGGGTGTTTGGGACAGCGGCCGTCTGAACCAATCAGAGTGCGGTCCGCCAGCAGGGTCTGCTCCGCTATGACGGTGCTTTCTGGGACAGAGACGAGAACTCAAGTAATATAACCGCGTAATGAGACGTAAACCTTCAGTCCTTTAAAGTGTCCAGAGAACATTTAACAGAATAATGAAGAGTTTCATGAAGGCGGAGCTGAGAACTCGTCTCTGAACCGACCTTTGGGATCCACGTCGTGGTCCAAACCTGCAACAGGAAGATCAGACAGACGTCAGACAAAACGCCGCTTCAACTAACCGTCTCGCCCCCTGACAGGAGAGCCGCTACGCTCAGAGGAGGAGGAGGAGTTTTACCCCAGAAGGTGTCGACCAGCGTCGTCTCCTGGACGGAGGACTCGTCCAGCAGGGAGGAGAGCAGGGAGGCGTCCGAGGCCACGCTGTGGAGGCTGCTGTTGAGGAGCGGCGGCTGACCGGCCAGTTTACAAGGAGTGCTGAGGAGGAGAGACTCCGAGCAGGAGGCCGAGTGCTGCTGAGAACGGTGAGACTTCAATGACCTGGAGGAGGAGGAGACATTAGATAACGTGCCTCCAGTGTAAAGCAGGAGAGCGTTCCTGAGCAGACTCACCTGGCGTTCCTCCAGCCGCCTCCTCCCACGCTGAAGGAGGCGCTGCTGAGCGGCAGGCTGCGGTCCAACAGCCCGTCATCGAGCCGCAGGCTGCGTCTGGACATGATGCCCGACAAGATCTGCTGCTCCTTCTCAGAGTCCGACGCTGCCGAGGAGTAGCTGGAGCTGAGGAGGAGCAGGAGGAGCGTTACTGGGCGTTCATGAAGAATGCAGAGAACAAACTTGTGTTCTAGCTCGCCGTTCTTGGAGGAACGAACTTGCGACGACAGGATCACAGAACGCCGCTGACAGTTTGAGACGATGCGCGGCGAGCGCCAATAAACCCGCCGGGCCTCGTCAGCCAGAACTTTACGCCCACAGTCGGTTTATCGTTTTAACTTCCAGCAGATTAGCTTTGGTTTATTGGTGCATAAATTAGATTTACATAAACTAAAAGCAAATTAAATAAAGTAGCGGAACCACAACTTCACTGGAAACCAACGTCTCCTGATTTAAAGTCCCAACATGACTCGGACCTGTTCCTCAGCCTCACGGCGAGAACTGGAGCTGCGGGGATGTTTTTATGGTTTTAAACTTCTGTAGAGGCCAAAGTGCAGCAGGCGCCTCAGGACACACATTTTATTTGGTACTTCAGCGCGGCTCAGGTCCAAAGTACATTTAATCCTCCCGTAACGTCGGGCTGTAACATGAAACGCGTCCCTTCTTGCAAACCTGCTGCTGAGACTTTAACAGGATCAGGTTCCCACTAAGACAAAGGAACTTTTCAAAGCGGACTAAATGAATCCTGATCAGTCCGAGGTCCAGACGCAGCAGGCGGCCGTCTGATTACAACTCACCGCTCCTTAAAACAAATCTCTGTAACGCCGCCCTGACCTACATACTGACACCACAGAAGAAGAAGGTACACACAGGTCAGTCCAGCCCCAGCAGCTCTGCAGGTCCAGGTCCTCGTCCCAGACGCTCATCCCAGTAAACACACATCCCCAGCACACACACACACCACCCCCCTGCACTGCTGCTGACTTCCTGTTAGAGCTCAGACTCCGCCCACCTCTTAAACATGTGACACAGAGTAAACCCAGCCTGAAGAAACAAAAGAGTAACTTTCACTTTCAAAGAAGAAGAAACTGATTATTATAAATAACAACCGACACTAAAATGTCAGCAGGACGTCAAACACACAAAGGATTTGTCCTTTGTTCAGCAGGTGAACCTCCAGATTACCCAGCAACCCTCACACCCTGAGCCAATTAAAGGCTTTCTGCAGAGCGGCCTGCGTCGACCCGCTGAGGGCTCCGTCAAACACAGCTGGTCATTATCCCCATCATCCAATCAGAAGGTCCAAAGAGACGTCTTCAGGTGTAAGGTCCAGTTTCCTGAGCTCTAAAAACAGCTGAGCTGCAGATGTTTAAATAATCAAGTCACTTTCAGGCAGAAACACCAAAGTTTGATGTTCCAGGCTCTCAGATCTGAGCTTCTGCTGCTTTTCTCGGCCTCAGGTTGCATCAAGTTTACCATTTTGGGGGTTCAGACATTTTATTCACAGCCATTAGAGGTTTATAGACCTAAAAAATTTGAGATTATTATTATTATTATGCATATCCATTATGAGAGGAATCGATCACATTTTACATCATTATTCTCATTTGGAAACATATTTAAATGATCACAGTTTGCAGGGATCTGAAGCAAACAGGAGCTCTGTGGCGGCCAGGACGTCTCTGCTGCAGCAACACGTGATTAAAAAGGTTAACGTGACACACACTTTGGTAGAACAGCATAATTATCTGTGTAATTGTACAGATTTTGACTTCAATAGTCACATTTTACACCCTGGAGGTTTAATCTAATATTAAAACCTCCTCAGATTTAACTCGACAGCTCGGAGCAGTTCAGAGATGCAGCGTAGATTGCCATGGCAACAGACCTCGGTTAACCCCTGTCCACCTTTAGCAGAGCCGGGAAGTTACACCTGAAGTTACCCGGATAAGCCAGTAACCCCGCTTCAGTGCAGCCCACAGGTACTAATCCGTTTTATGTTCTCTTTATTTTAGGATGGGACAGCAGATTAAAAACATAAATAATAATTAATGTTTATATAAATAGATAAATACTAAATAAATAAAATAAATTATAGATTAATATAAATAAATAATACAAAACATACAAACTACTAAAGATGCACAGTCACAGTCACCCACGTGTCTTCAGTCATTTAACTGCACAGTTAAAGGGACTGTCAGCTTCCAGCCAATCAGCGCTCAGCTCAGACAGATGACGTCCCGGAAGACCAATGATGTTACGCGGTGGGCGGGGCCCCGCGAAAAACGAACAGTCGCTTTGCTAACGTTAGCTTTAATTAGCTCTCAGGACGTCGACACAAAATAAAACACACAGAACAAAACGACAGCAGCAAACTACAAACTACAAACTACTCACCGACAGCGGAGCCTTCGACAAGCCGGTAACGGCGGAGCTTTAAGGTGAAGCTACAGCCGGCTAGCTGCTGCTAGCTAAACACGTAGCGCTGAGAAGTGACCGTTTCCTGTCCGTTTTCCACTTTTATAGCAAAGTTGGCGACGTAACGACAAAAATAAAGATGTGAAAAATCAAAACTGTTCGTGTAAAATAGACACGACTTCGAAATGTCGACTGACAAACTTAACAAGAAGCCAAACGGAGAGGTTGTTGTTTAGCTTTTTATACGGAGGCAGCGGGATTCACCGCCCCCGTGTGGCGGGAGGGCGCGCTGCCAAAGATCATACAATGCGCTCGAGATACTTCACGTCCTTTAACGTGTGAAATCTGGCGAGCGGAGATTATTATTATTATTTTTTACATCGTTGTTCAGTTATTTGTTTTAATGTATTTCAAAAATCTGATTCAATAGAAAAGCATTAATTTTGGACCTGTCTCCTAACACGGATGCCATATTTCCCATTACTGAGTGAGAGTTAACCGTAGACTGTAACACAGCCAGTAATAATCATTGCGGCAAAAAATACTCCTGTGAAATATATTAGCAGTAAGAAAGAGTGTGCTTCTAAATCGGCTTGTTAACGTGGAATAAAGTAATAATTCAAAAAATAAAAGTTCAAATTGAAAGTCTTATTAGTAAAAGATCGGGTGTTGGGCGAAGAAGGAAGTACTTGGCGATGAGATCTCCCATTACAGGAAACCCTGTCGTGACCCGGATGTAGAATCATCAGGTCGCTGCAGCTATCAGCAGCGTGCGCCCATGTGTTTTACAGACATACTGAAAACAGGTGAGAGGTTTGTCTTCTTTTTTAGTCTCTTAATTCCTTTCTGAATGTTGGAATTATTGTTCCGGCGTGTTTAAGAAACCTACATGTCCGTAAATCTTTGGTTGTGAGACAGTTAGTTTCGTTTCAGGAGCGAGAAGTCGGCCAGTTAGCGTAACATGAATGTTGCTGTAGTTCGTAAGTTAATGTGAAGTTAACTATTAGTGCCTGTAAAGACATCATACGAACACTGTTTTCTGGCTGCAGCTACGACACTGGATTACAATCTGAATACTGAATAACGGACTTCTGTTTCTGCGCTGGAATTCTTTTACACGCCAAACTCCCCTGAAAAACTGCAAGTTTAATATTTTCTCGCTTATTTAAAAGAGTTCGTTCTACACACAGCTGGAGTTAAGACTTTATGTTAACCACATAGATCCACTCTACTGTTCGGCATTAACATATTCCAGTGATTTATCTTCCCATCCTCTTTTCACAACAGTTTCTCACCGGTCTTTAGGCTCAATACTGTTCAGTTTAGCTGTTAAAGTGAAGCGGGGATCCAGCGGAGTTTGGTTTGATGTAACTAGAATGGAGCAAGTAGATACGTGGTTTCATTTTAAACATATACTGATTTAAAGTTTTGGGACTAAATAATAATAATACTCCTCAGGTTATTTCACCTCTCATTTATGTAAATAGCCTGAACGCCTTTAGGTAACTGGAAACAGTCAGTCAGTTTATGTTTGTGTCTCCATCAGATTAAGAAATCATCATGACGTCGTTGGCCCACCAGCTGAAGAGGCTCGCGCTGCCTCAGAGCGACCCCAACCTGCTGACACGCAGGGAGGTCGCCTCGCTCCTCTTCGACCCCAAAGATGCCGCCGCCATGGACAGAAGCACCTTCTACGCCCTCGGTGAGTCCCGCACAGGGTGTTGGTGTGGCTGCACAACCTGTTTTCTGGCTAGCCTCGATAACACCGTCCTCTCTCCTCCTCCAGGCTGCACAGGGTTTGAGGAGCTGCTGGGAATCGAACCCGCCTTCCAGGAGTTCCAGGACACCCTGTTCAGCCGGGCCTCGCTGACCCTGGAGCGGAGCGTCCAATCCAAAGAGGTCAACGAGAAGCTGGACGCCGGCATCTCGCTCTTCCTCACCCGCCTCTGCCCGTACTTCCTCCTCAAGCCGGCTCACAAGTGCATCGAGTGGCTGGTTCACCGGTAACGACGGCGCGTTTTGTATTTCTCAGAGTCGGCCGTGTTGTCAGATCGAACATGTGTGTTCAGAGTCCCGTGTTTTGTTGCAGCTTCCACATCCAGCTGTACAACTGCGACAGCCTGCTGGCGTGCGCGCTGCCGTATCACGACACCAACGTGTTCGTCAGAGTCCTGCAGCTGCTCAGGATCAAGGACGCCACCAGCCGCTGGAACTGGCTGCACTGCCTGCAGGTCCGACTCTGCTGCTGCACGCTGTTCATGTTCAGATATACAAGTGTGTGCGCTGCATGTCAACGCTGTGCTGCTGTCTGTTCAGAAACCAGGCGTGCCGTTGTCCAGAGGAACCCTGATCACTCACTGCTACACAGACCTGAGCTTCATGGACTTCATCTGCACCCTGGTCACCAAGTCCATCCAGGTAAGAGCGTCAGGTCCTGATGTATTTACATTCTGACTGACGCGTACGGCCGGAAGCGAACGCTGCTGCTTTTCACCTGCTTTCTCACATCTGTACCTTCTCGTTTGCAGGCGTACTCGGGACACTCTGGAAGCTGCTCCCAGCTCAGAGTCATCTTCTCCTTCTACGCATCGACCATCGTTCCCGCTCTGGACGCCGTGGACAAAGTGTCTGACACCGTCATCTCCAAGCTGCTGCCATATGTTCAGAGGGTAACGTTCACGTTCTCTGTCTGACAGGAGGTCAGAGGTCAAAGCTGCAGGACTGTGTTTTGATATTTCTGTAGCTGAGTTGGTTTTAAACGTCGGGTCAGATTCATTATCTTGTTTTTATTCTTTGAGCAGATAGTTCCTGGTTTAAATGGTCATTTTGTCAGTTTTAGAGCTGCAGACACGATCGATAAGGAAACATTACGTCAGCTACTGTTATTTGTCAGGAAAATAATTCCTAGATTTTCTGAGTGTCTCTGGATTATTTGCTCGTTTAGTCTTTCACGGATTAAATTGAACTTCGTTTTAAACTGTTGGTCAGAACGGTCGATCTGCTGACTAATCGGTAAAGAAAGTAATCGTTAGCTGCGGACCTGAGCTGGATTCATTCAGATCTTTTGCTCAGTGAAGAAAATGCGCAGAAGCTCAGGTGTCGTATTTCAAACGTCGTCCCCGCAGGGCCTGAAGTCGACGCTGACGGACTACAAAGCCGCCACCTACATGATCGTGTGCCAGCTGGCGGTGAAGGTGGTGATGGAGGCGAGTCTGGTGGACACGCTCGCCGTGCACATCAGCAAGTCTCTGCTCAAAGAGCCCACGCTGGCCAAGGAGGGTCTGGGCTGCCTGATCGTGCTGCTGCAGAACCAGAAGGAGGGCGCCGCTGGGCCCAGGTAGGACCACTCAGACACGCCCCCTGCAGGTGTGACCCCTCCCACACGGGGACGGGGTTCGATGGCACCGTCGAGCGTTCAGTTTAACTCCTCCTCTCTCCTGCAGAGCCTTCAGCCGCCTGAGCTCCATGCCCGCGTTGGTTTCCACGCTGCAGGTCATGGCGGCGTCTCATGACGTCAGCCCTCTGCTGCGCTACCTGCTGCCCCACCTGATCCACGCCATGTTCACCTGCAGCTCAGGTGAGAACCGTGTGAGGCCTCTGCTGATGTTCTGCAACAGGAAATAAGGTGGAATCATTTTCATTAGTACTGTTTGTGTTTACCTGTTGTTCTCACAGGTGAGGCCGAGGCGGCCGAGGTCGGCGTGTTGGAGTCCATCCTGCGGTCCGTTCCTCTGACCAAAGGCCTGGACCAAACCGTGGCTCGGTAAGTTCTCCTCCTGTTTCTTCCTCTCTGAGACCAGAGAGCCGTTGTGGACCAGCAGCGCCCCCCTTGTGTCCCGTAGACTGAGTCTTGCCGTGTTCCTCTCGCAGTTTGCTGTTGGACCAGTACCTGTGTCAGACCGAGCTCTCTGCTGAACACGCGTCGGCCCTCGACCGGCGCCTGCTGCCTCTGGTCCGACTGTTCGAGTCCAGGTGGGTCCAGCAAACACCTGCACCTTTTTCATTTACTGTTTCTTACTGAAACGATTCTCTTCGTCATGATGCTGATATATTTTCTCACTAGCTGTTCGGTCTGGTTATCATTTAGACGATTAACTAATTAATTACTCAATTGTGTGTTTCAGATATATTTTTAACTGTTGTCAGATTATTGATCACCGAGGGCTTATTGGTGCATGGAAACACATTTTAATTATTGATTATTCAGTTTTACCAGGCTAACATAATTAAAGCCAGGTGTTTATTATATTATTTATTTATTTAAAACCAAACTGAAGGTGTGGAAACTTTAATAAATGACTTCAAGGGTTAATTAATTCAAGTCCGATAACGATTTCCTGCCCTCGTTACCTGTGAGACAAACAAACTTTTCTGTCGCTGGGATTTGGTTTTTGAAGAGATGGAGCAGAACAGTAAACGTCAAATATGGCGGTAACTAAATATAACGGTGGATTAATCTGATAATCTTCAAGCACAAAGATCTCAGCTGTCAGGATTTGTGTTTTTAGGTTTCCACTGTTTTCTGTCACGAATGAAGAAAGATGTCGGCTGATTGGTCGCTTTAGTTACAGTACATTTTGAAACGTGACGCTGTTCATCAGCTTCACTCGTGTGTTTCTGCCCCGTCAGATACGGTGGAGCTCTGGACGGCGTCCTCGCAGGTCACGTGACCGACGTCGGTAGCTCGGAGCGGAAACGCCTCTTCCACCAGTTCCTGTCTCTGTCGATGAGCAGCGGGAAGTACCAGGTAAGCCTGCCGCTCTCTGACCGGCCGGCGTCGGCGGCCTCTGCTCTCTGTATCAACCGCAGACCCGTTCTGTCTTTGTGTGTTTCTCTGCAGATTCTGGGCGACTCGGACACGTCGCTGCTGCTCAGCCTGAAACACCCGCTGCCGTCGGTCCGAGTCTCCGCCGTGGAGCACCTGATGGGCATCATCACCTCCGGACAGGTGCGACAGAGAGCTCCTGCTTTCAGACAAAGTTCGATCACTGCAGCTGATTGGTCTACTTCAGTATCCAGTGATAATAATAATGATGCTTTTTAAAACCATTTTATAAAGTGCTTTCAAAGAAAACCGAGAACAAGATGCACGACAAAGCAACAAAACACTGAATAAAATTAAAAATAAAGTCAAATAAGAT